TCATGTCAAGATAGGAGTCAGTGTATTATGAAAGAACTATATTTGAAATTATTTCCAAACAGAAGCTGATTGCACTCGAGTCGAACTGTTTTTCTAAAAGGAAAAGACAGGTGCATGGAGTTGACTCAGATTGCTTATCAGAATGGCGATATTATCTTCCTGGGGCCGGAGGGGCAGGATGGTGGCGGGAGGTGTGTGGCTGATATGCAATTAATAATTCAAATCGGCACAGGGCGCTATTCTGCAGGGCACCCTGCCCCCCTGGTAACTTATCAATAAAATATTTGGTTCAGTTGTTTGGAGCCCATAGCTCATCTGAGATCAACATTCTCACTTGGAAATGCTGGTTGGCACAGGAAGCAGAGCATCAGAAAAGCCTGCGGGTCTGGAATAAAAATGTCAGGGGAGGAAATGAGTCTCCGACACCCCTTCTCTTACTGCATCCAAAAGGGGAGCCTTGAAATCTGGGTCAGTAGTGGTGACTGCATCGCTGGGAAAATTCTGCCTCAGGGGGCAGGGGGGAGCGCCATGCACCATGTTGAGCCGGCCCCTTCTGCGAGGTGTCCACCTCCATCCTGGGAGTGGTCCAGACACTCTGGCTCAGGGTGCAGTCTCCAAGGGTCCAGTGAAATCCTTTGCATGCCTTTAAGGCAATATACATGCTTTACTTTTGCTGAATTATCCATTTTTTCATGATTAAAGTAACATATACTCCTTAAAGCAAATTTTGTAAATGTGGACAAATAACCAAGATTTAAAGATAAAGGCAAAGGACAAATGCCCATTATTTCAGAAAAGCCGTCATGTGTAATAATAGCAACAAGCTATGTTGGGTGGGGCAGAGGGCCAAGCTGCTGGGAGATGAGACGCATTGTTGCTTGTCATCCATACAGCAGCCTTGTGAGGCATTGTGGGTGCACAATCGTTTATCGACACTTCAAATTCCATGATGCTCTAAAAGCTGACCTTTGTTTTATAACGAATTTGGGGGCAAAACATGCCCTGAGATGAGTCCTATTTACAGACTCCAGTTATGCCACTTGGTGTGAATATTCATGTATTGTGAGAACATTTTTATTAACAGATTTAATTACTGAGCATTGCCTCAGACCTTTTGGGGATGTTCTCTAGTGTATGATATTTTAACCATACTTCTCAAACCCGAGAACTTCAAAATTCTACACAGCGGCTTCCATGACTATCCCCATGTGGCATATGAAGAATCTTTGGTGCATAGTTTATGCCTGACCCAATACTGAACCACTGACAAGTGGGGGGTTCGAACCATGGTCTGCGCACCTCGAGGAACTGAGCTCGGAACTCTCAACCCAGAGTGTCGGGACCTTTTCCACATCACACCCCACAGAGAGAGTGAGACGCTGTCTGACCTCCTGGTGGGGAGCTGGGGAGGCTGTTTAGGATCAGGGCCTGTGATGCCGGGCTGTTCTGCCCACTGCCATTCCAGAGTTCTGCCCTGGTTCACCCGTCTTTTTAGCCTGCAGGCTGTTGGCACAGAGTCTGCTCACACTTTCAACTCTCACTTAACGAATATTACGTACCCACCAAAAGGCTGGGAAGTGGTGCTTCAGAGCAGGACTCTGGAATGAGAGCTCCTGGGTTCGAAAGCTACCGCCCCTATTTTCCAGTTCTAAGATCTTACCAGGAGAGTTGCTCAGATCTCTGAGCCTCAGCTTCTTCATCTGTGAAATGGTGATGATAACCCAGTCCTAACTTCCAACTGAGGGCAGCTACGCTCACCTGGTCCTTAAGAAGGAGGGGACGCAGTGGAGCTGGTGTGGGGCGTTTCTGAGTTCCGGGTCATCTGCCTGACTTTATGGGAGTGCAGAACGGGAGGCAGCAGGTCCTCAGACCCAGCCCTTGGAGGAATGCCTTATCTCTTCTCTAAGACGGACTGTACTCATCTCACGGGAAGCTGTGCATCACTCACACAGGCTGAAAAATGCGGGTGGGGGTGACCGGAATCAGCACCCGGAAGATGTCAAGACTGTCAAGAATACAGAGCTATTGAGAAAGCCCCTCTATTGGGCCTGAACATATGGAGACTAAGCAGTCCCTATTCTGTGTTTCTCTTTGTATGTTCCCTCTGCCAGAGTTTACACTTGGCATTAATAAGATCAAACCTAAAATTTCACAAGCAGAATTCAGTGGGGAAAACATCAGGTTGGAGTCCCTGGCTGGAATATCATGCCAGGTTTGTTTCTGAGTTATACCAGGTTCCTAGAAATCACATGACATGTGAAGTTCTTCTAATAAATGAGATGAACAGACCAAGAAGTAGGCAAACAGAAAACATTATCTCTAATGTCAGGAAGACTGCCTTTCTTCGCCACCCCCTCCAGCCTTATACAAGGCCCAAGAAGAGGTGTGATTCCTAGTTCGTCAACCACAGGCCAGGTTCCTGGCTCTGTTTCTTGCGCTTTACCCTTTATGGGAAGACTGGGTACCATGGAATGGGCTGACCCAGGGGCAGGGACTCAGTGCTTTGGGGCTGTATAGGAGCAGATGGCCAGATGCCCACCTGGCAGGGTTCTTGTTGATCCAGTGAAGATTCTCGGCACCATCTTGCCCCCTTGCTCCTCTGTTTGAGAGAGCCTGGAAGGAAGCCACACCTCCCAGACTCAGGATGGGGTCCCCATCACCTCCATCTGTTTCACTTCAGGCCTTGTCATCACTGAGCCGGGGGCAGGTTCTGGGTGAAGCTTGACGGCAGCAGCCCCACCATCACCCCCAAATTGGCAGCATCCACAAGCCTGGGCCTGGCCTGATGCTTACTACCTTGGTTTCTTCCCAGTTATCTTGCTTAGGACCATAATCTGCTTCTAGTCCAGGGACTCTGTCCTAAGTCCTAGCTCAGAGTTTAGGGATAACATCTATGCTTGGTGAACTCTCTCCCTGGGGCTGAATCCACCTCCCCACAGCCTGTCTGCTTCCCGGGGCCTCTGCTGAACATGCCATAGATTCCAGAAGGACCCTGCGCTGTGGATCAGACCAAAATTTGATGGCCCACATCAAGTTTCCTCTGTCTTTGGGATGCCGTGCTGTCAGAGTCTGATGGCCATCAGAGGCTGGACTCATTGCTGGCACGTTTGCCGAGTCCCCAGCCCACCTGAACTCAGCTTCCCCCCTCTTTCCTGTGGTTCCAAGTCTCAGCACGCGCTGAGCTTGACTTTGTTTAAATGTCCTCAGCAGTTTGCACTGAACAAACCTGGAGGCTTTCTCGGTCTGCAGAGGTAATAATGAAGGCTGGTGTTTGGAAGGCTTTACAGGTGACAAAGGTTCTCACCTGATACCCTCTTCTCACTATATTGGGACCTTGTGTATTTCTTTGATACCTGTATAGTTTCTGAGAGCAAAGGTCATTCCAAACATGGCTCGGCGTTCAAGCCCCTCTCCCCACTCCACTGCTTTGTGCTTCACTGGATACCATAGTCTCTCTTCTGCCAGGGGGGTTCTCACTGGAGATATATCAGGTAGGTATTTCCTTGAGAGCGTGTCCACTGGACCTAAGTTTCTTCTAAATGGCCTGCTGTTAAGAGTCAAGAATTTAGAGAATGGTTGGGATTTCATACTTCTCCTTCCATTACTTCAACCTTGTACATTCCTCCAAAACAGAACTTACCAGAGTAGCTCAGTGTTTGCAAAGATGGACTTAGACGAGTGTAGATTCTTAGGGAAGAGATAATGCATCTCACTACATTTCGTTTTCCTTTTAGTAGTGGACACAGGAAGAGCCCTTTCCCTAACGTCCTCTGTAGTGAGTGGGGCCAGTGACTGAGCTATGGCAAGAATATGCCACCTCCAGGCTGGGTGCCTAAGACCTTCTGAGCGACGCCCCTTCCTTCCTGTCTTCTCTTCAGCTGGCTGGACATAGAGGACCAAGCAGAGCGCTCTATGTCCCCAGTGGCAGGAGGTTAAGTCCTGAAATCATGGCATGGAGCACCCCCCCCACACCCCGACTTGTCCAACAGGATGTGAATGAGAGAAATCTCTGTGTTTTAGCCACTAAGGTGGGAGTTACCTGTGACAGCGGTCAGTGTTGACTGACCGATAGAGTTCTGATCCTAGTTCGGCAACTAACTACACCATCTGGGAAAAATCCTTTAATTTTCTGAACTCTCTCACCTGCACGAAACTTTCCTGGGAGTCTTTGAGGTCAAGGGACAAAGAGGGCGTAGGATGCAATCTTCCCAGGAGAGGGTGTAATCCACCTGCAACCACTTCCCAGCCCATGACCTTGTCACTGTTCCTCCAACAGGTCGCATGGGCTTGATCCCACTTCTGGGCCTTTCCGATTCTTTCTGACTCCTTCAATTTTCTCCCAGGGTGCTTCTTTCTCATCGTTTAAAGCAAATCTTCAACACAAAGGCCTCAAAGAAGGCCTCTTTGTGGATTCCAGCTCAATAGCCTCCCTGACCCCCAATTCTTTATCCCCATTGTCCTACCCAATTTTCTTTATTGCTTCTACCTCTAACTGGAAGTAGACCATTTATGTATTGGTTTATAGGAATATGATCTATTATCCGCACCCTGAATGCTAGCTCTACGAGGGCAAGATTTTGCCAGGATTTCTCTGGAGCTTAGGAAAGCAGAGGCACATTGTAGGTGCTCAATATATGCTGGTTGAAGGGATGTACAAGGTACTGTGGGGATTACATGAGTTCATTATGTCAAGAGTTGGGCATTGGGCCCTGCACACCGCAGGAGCTCAATAAATGGCAGGTGTGTCAAATGTCTGTTTACATGTCCCTCTTTCACACTCAGTTGTGAGCCTCTCAAGGTCAGGGACCGGACCTTATTTATCTGTGCTTCCCAAAGAACCTTGTACATAAGAGGTGGTCAATAAAGGTCTGTGATGGAAGAGAAACTCAACTCCTATCTTCAATTAGTATAGCCAAAGACCAATGAAACCATCCTTGTTCTAAAAAAAATTAAACCTTTTTATTAGTATATTTATTTTATATATAAAAGAAATACAAAAAAAGAAACACAAAGAAAATGCTTTTATGGCAAATCGGACTTGTCGGTGCCTTCAGCTTGGGCTCCAGGCTCTGGCCCGCTGGGTGTCAACAAAGTCCGCCGGTTGTAATGACCCTTGATAATCCCAGTGTTGTTGTTCTCGTTGAGGAGCTGCTTCTGCCTTTGCCTGTTGAGGGACTGGACAAGGCCCAGGACGACCGCGGCCAAGGAGTACTGCCCGGGCAGTCTTCTCGGGGGCAGGATGAATGGGTTGGGTTGGACTCTTCCCAGCAGAAAGTACGTCTTGATTTTTCCTTCCTGTTCACTGATGCCCTTCACATAGATCTCCCCTCGGTAGTCAAAGGCAAAGCCCTGGTCCTTCAGGATGAGATAGGTCTCCTCGGGGACTTGGATCCTGCCGCTGACCCCTGTGCTGTCCATTCGACTTGCTAGGTTCACGGTTTTGCCCCAAATGTCATACTGTGGTTTCTTAGCGCCGATAACGCCAGCTACCACCGAGCCGTGGCTGATGCCTACAGGTGACCAAAGGAACAAGAGGTGAGAGAAGAAGGACATCACTGAGGTGGCTGCACCCAAGCCTGAGACAGTGACCAGCGAGGGGGCGGTCTCTGTGCTTAAACTGCAGGGCCCAGATCCCACCTCAGTTACTCATTACATGTGTGGCCTGTGTCCGTTCCTTAGCCTACGTGGACCTCACTTTTCCCATCTTCAAAGTAGAAGATGAATCGAGATGATGGAAGTAAGGCCTTGGCCTGGTGCCTGACAACCAGGGGGGGCTCGAGAGGAAATTATTATTATTCTCACATGGACACTGACTTATCGTGGCTGCTGGGACAGACGGAGCACTGGACCAGGAGTCAGGACATCCGGTGTCCTCCAGCCTCTTCTGGTACAGTACTCTGAGAGCTGGGGTAGAACTTTTCCTTCTCTGTCTGTGTCCAGGTCCTGAGCATCATTCCCTGGTCCATGGCAAAAACCTCCCACCCGGCCTCCCCGTCCCCTGCCTTGTCCTCTGCAGACCGTCCTCCACACCACTGCCAGAGCAGGAGGGCTCTTGTTGGGGTGCATCTGACCAAGTTCCAACCCACTTCAACACCGCCATGGCTCCTTTGGCCTACAGGATGATGCCCATGCGCCTTGGAACCTGAGCCAAGGGCCTCTCGAATCTGGCTCTTGCCTGCTTTGTCAGCCTCCTTCACCACCACCTCCTTCACCATGTCACCTTTCTTTGCATTGTACCCACCCCGAAGTGCTAGAGTTGCCCTCACCTGCCGGCCATCAAGTACCTCTGTGCCTTTGTCCCTGCCCATCTCCCTGCTTGGACTATCATGTCTGCCCAATCCCACTGTTTATTTGGCAAATGCCTTTGAAAACAGTTTCAATGACTCCTCTTTCATGAAACGTAGGCTTCTTTTAGGAATAATAACATTTCACTAATCATGGTGGTGGGCATATATGTCTCCTTCTAGTAGACTTAGAATTTCTCATGTATTCTACCTGACTAGACACCTGCCAAGGACCAACACTGTTCCAGGCGTGGGGGAAATGGTGGAAGAGAAAAGAGACATAGCCCCAGCCCTCATGGAGCTCACCTTCTACTGGGGAGAGACAGAAACAAAAAAAAAGTAATGTATCAATGAATCATGAAGACTATAAAGAAAAACCAGTCGGGTTGGAGGGAGAGAGAGGTGGGAGGGGGCATTTTGGAGGAGGTGGTGAGGGAAGGCCTTTCTAAGCAGACATCTGAAGACAGTGACAGGACAAGCCATGCAGATATCTGGGTTAGATCATTCCAGGCAGGGGGAAGAGCAAACCCCTCCCAGCCCCACACAAAATCAGAGAGAAGTGACTGAGAAATCGGAGAAGCGGACCTTTCAGACCGCGTGGGAGTTACAGGGATGGAGATCTCTCCGTGATTTGCAGAGCACTTACAGACATCACCCCATCTGATTCCACGTTACTACCGCAAGGTGGGGGCAGGGGCGGGGGGTGCGGGGAGCGGAGGTAAATAATATCATGCCCAGCTTGCACATGAGGAAACTGACATTTGGAGGGTTTAAATGGCTTGTCCAACATCGTAGAGCCGGTCGCAGTGGACCCAAACACAAACTGAGATGCCCAGCCAAGTCGGGAAAATGATCTTCTAACCTCTGAACGACGCCAGCACTCTGAGATTTCACACCAAGGGTCGGCCCTGACCCCAGCGACATCTCCTGGCTTTGTTCAGGGTTGATGTTCTGCTTTTTTAGTCCTGGTTCAAGTGTGTGGTCAATGATTTCAGAAAGGACACGTAGGGTTGATGGAACATGTGGGAACAAGCCCTGAACATCCCAGCCATAGATCCAAAACATAAAATAGGACTTCTTTTTATTTTGGTGAACAAAGGTTCCTGGCATTTGTTAGATCTGACAAGTCAGATATTGGCATTTCTTGACCCTTGTTTCTTGAAAGCTACTCAGGGAGACCTAAGTCAGTCAGATGACATGCTGGCCAGAGGATATCTAAAATCCGAACACCGCAGCGAAGGTTGTGTCAGCCTGCGGCCTGGCAGCCAGAACGTCACTGGTCTGTCCTGACGTCCTGGAGCCCCTGCCCGAGCGGCCATTTGGCTGTGTGATCATAAGTCATTACTCCCCTTCTCGGGGCCTGAGTTGACCCACTATGGAATGAGAATGTGGACTAGAGCAGGGGGCCTTCACACCTTGCTGGAGGGGGCCTTGGAGAACCAGCAGGGATGCCGAAGACATTGACAGTTATACACGTTATAAAAGGTCACTATTCACATTGCCATGGTTTCAGTTGCACTGTTGCGTTGCTCCAGGGTGTCTCTAAGCTCAAGGAAGGGTGAGCTGTGTGGCCAAGGAAGAGCCAAAGGCTTTCTCTGTCCCTGAGCAACATAGCATCTGACATCCTTGGGACTCAAATCCTGCTTTTGTTTTAAGGCATTATCCAGAAGAACCAGGGAGCAGCACCCTGACCAACAGCATCAGATGACATGAAGTCGGAATGAAAGGACAGATGACTCAGCTCTCTCCCCCAACAGGGCCTTGTGTGCGTGGGGTACCGCACAAGTAACTTGGGAGAACAGTAGCTAGGGCGTAGTGTTTGCTGTGTCTTTCTGCACACGGGCCAGTGTCTCTCCCTGGCTTCCAGCACCCTGAGTGAGAAGAAGGCCAGACTGGCCTGAGCTGATGCTCCCTGTCCTTGGCAAGGTCACACTGAGCCTGCTGCTTTTCGCAGGAGAAAGCTACCCATGGCCCGGGGCATCGGGAGGGTCCGATGGAGCCAGGCCAGCCAGCTCTGTGGGGTCCCCCACTCGCCACACCTCTGGCGGCTACTCACCAATCCGGAGTTCGAAATTGTTGAAGGAATGCTTGTTGATCTCCTGTATGCTCTCGGTCAGGGCGAGGGAGAAGTCGGCCAGGGCGCACAAATGTCCCCACTTGTCTTCACATTGCTGGAGCAGAGGGGAGAGAAGAATTCATTCACTGTGGCGAACGTGAACCTTTCTGCAGCAGGGGCCTGTCCTATGTCCCAGCCCACCTGCGCGTCCCTGAGATGGAGATGACCAGGTATGTGAGCCCCTGTACACTCAAGTCAGCAGCGTCCCCGAAACGCGGGATGACGGGAGATGTGCTGAAGCGAGTGTAATATGCGTGGCTCATCACATTCCTTTCCCCACATCTACACTTGTCCTGTCGGGTTGACACACCACACATTCCTGAGTACACATACGGTGTGTATGTGTGTGTGTATGTGTATGTGTTTAAGTGCTGGGAAATCTGTATATTTCCTTTGAAGCGCTCACACTGTCTGTTCAAGGGATGTTTCATATAGACATTTGCTCACAGAACTCCTGAGGGAAGAGCACAGTAAGCCTCTGGGCCTCTCTGAACGTCAACCTCCTCAATTATAAAATGGGGATTCACATATATGTCCTGCCTGCCTCCCAAAGATTGCATGAGATTGTGTATGTAAAAGCACTTTGTGCCCCTCCAGAGCACAGGTCGGTGAATCATGGTGGGCCAGATAGTAATATTTTAGGCTTTGTCATGGTTGCTCAACACCACCATTTTAGCTTGAAAGGAACCAAAGCTAAACTATGAATAAATGGGTATGGCTGTGTTCCAATAAAGTTTTATTGACAAAAACAGATGGTGGATCAGATTTGGCCGGCTGGTTGTACTTTGTGGACCCTGCTATAGAGCGCCACGCATGCTTCCAATGACTAGTGTGGGGGTCTTCCCAGGGAGTTGCTCGTGGAATGTTTCTAGGTGTTTAGTTGGGATGCAAGTGAAGGAAGGATGAGAGGAAGAAATGAGGATTCCTTCTTCCCAGTAACTTAGACTCATATCCATGTAGGCTTTTGCGTGGGAGCATGACATGGTCTCAGGTAACTCATCCACTAACGCTGGGAGGTAGATGCTAGTGTTCCTACTTGACAATAGTGCCTGGCCCACAGTCAGCCCTCAAAAGAGTGTGAGCTGTTATTCTTACATACTGTAAGAATAAGAACACAGCCTGGCATCAGGGGTTTGATAACAGCTACATCTGAGTCATAGCCAGGGTATTTCTTGGCCCTGATTTTGTTCGTCAAGTCAACAACGAGGTTCAGAATGGCACCTAGAGGTTTCTCAATCATAACGAAGCATCGTTAAACCCAGTAGACCTTACTTCCCACGGGAGCAAATGTACGTCACACAACCGGAGTATCCAGTTCATCAGATTCTCTCCCCACCAGTCCGCATGCAGCCTGGTGACGGTAGAGCCTCACTGCCTTCAGCGACATGAGAACAGTGAGGTGCCTGCCATGTGGTGTGGCCGTGTGCAAGGAGTTGCTTTACCTGTTTTTCGGGGGACAGGCCTGACACGGCCATGTAGGTGCTGCCAATGGTCTTAATCTTTTCAATGTCCTGGAACCGGTCTTCGCCAAGCAGCTGAAACAGATCCAGGCAATGATATTAGTCCTGGTGTTTATTCTTCCAGAAGACGGGGTTGCTTTCCTGAAGAGGCCCCCGGCTCACAATGAGGACTACCTCTGCCTGGTTTAGCATCCTCAAGACAGCTACTTTTCTCTCTGAGAATCATGCCTTTAGACAGTCAACGTACGTTTACTGAGCACCTGCTAAGTGCCAGGCGCCACGATGGGTGCACCCAGATACTCTTTAAGGAGTAGATCTGTTTCAAAGTAGACTTCAAAGGAGTAGATCTGTTATTATCTTTGAAATAAATGGTTATTTTATTGGTTCAAAAAAGAAATCACAAATGTTCCCCAATCCGAGAACAAATCTTTTTTGGCTATACCTTCAACATGTATTTGGAATCTTAACACTTGCTGACAGCATCCCGGTCTGAGCCATTGTTGGCTTTCACCTGGTTGTTGTACCACCATGACCTACCTACTCCCTCCCTCACCCCCACACTCCTAGCCCGGCAGCCAGAGAGATCCCATTCCACGGCAAGTCAGATCATGTGCCCACTCTGTGCAAAACCCTCCCATGGCTTCCCATTCTACTCCCCCCAACAGATGTCCACGTCCTAATCCTTGGAACCCGTGGATATGTTACCTTTCATGGCAGAAAGGACTTCGTAGATGCGATGAAGTTAATAATCCTAAAATGGGGCGATTCCCTAGATTAGCTGGGTGCACTCCACGTAATAACAAGCATCCTTGTAAGTGAAAGGAGGAGGCAGGAAAGGTGGAGAAAGCAATGTGAGGGCAGAAGCAGGAGTCAGAGGTGTGACTGCCGGCTCTAAAGATGGGGGAAGGAGCCACATGCCAAGGAATGCCGGTGGCCTTTAGAAGCTGCAATGACATGGATTCTCCCCTGGAGCCTCCAGAAGGAACACAGCCCCACTGACACCTTGATTTAACCTGTGAGATCCATTTTGGACTTCTGACCTCCAAACTGTAACATAGTAAATTTCTGTTGTTTGGAGTCACTAAATTGGTGGTGATTTCACTTGATCTTAGCCAAAAGACCAAGAAGCGATTAAATTGGTGGTGATTTGTTACAGCAGCAGAAGTAACTAATACAGCAACTATCCATTGATCTTCTGCAATGTCTCATGAACAAGATGGGAGGTCCCAGCCATCAGAGGGTTGACAGCCCAGGCAGGGGCGGGACCACATGTTAAAGAAATAATCACACAAGACGTCCCCTAGTTCAATTCTAGGAAAGTGCATGATGGAAACATACAGGGTGTAGGAACGAGGAGAATGGAGCATTTTGTTAACATCTGGAGGCTTCCCTGAGCAAGTGATTTCTAGCTTCACTTTTAAGAGCGAGGAAGGAAAGGTCTTTCAGCGGCGGGTGCTTGGCTTTGTGTGCTGGGAAGCTGGTGCCATGGAAAGGGTTGCGGGGAGCATCCGGACAGAGGGGACAACACGAATGAGGGCCGGAGGTTGGGGAGAATGCATGTTAGTTTCAAAGAAGTAAGAAGAGGGCTGTAGTTATTTTTCTCATCTTAAGAAAAGTCCTTGTGGACATCACATTTCTTTTGCTATAAAAATCCTCAAATTGTCTCTCCTCACTGCCTCTAAATTCTTCCCTGTGCTTTTCTAAATCCGCTACAGACCGGCATCCCGAGTCCCCCCTTAACACTGACATGACTCTTGTTCAGACCTGTGACGACCGTTCCCATTGCCTGACCACTGGCCTCACCCTGCTTGGCCCATCAGCAGGATCTGACCAGTTGATTGTGACACCTTTCCCACGCACGTGGTTTCTGCCCACTCATGGCTTTACTTCCATGTCACTGGCAATTCCTCAGTCCCCTTTGCTAGTTCCTTCTTATCTTCCTTAACTCATGGTGTCGGTGGCCAAAAGGCTCAGGCCCAGACCTCTTCTCTTTTCCATTTTAACTCACTCCCTGGGGCGCCTGGGTGGCTCAGTCAGTTAAACAGCTAACTCTTGATTTCGGCTCAGGTTGTGATCTCATAGTCATGGGAACGAGCCCTATGTCTTGCTCCATGCTCAGTGGGAATTCTGCTTGAGATTCCCTCTCTCCCTCTCCCTCTGCTCCTCCCCCCACTACATAAATTTAAAAAATCTTAAAAAAATAACTTACTCCCTTGCAATCTCATGATGGCTCATGGCTTTCAACACAACCTCTTTGCTGAAGATTCCTAAATGTATGTGTTTTCCCTTTACCATCAGACTCTTTCTGCACAAAATTGCTCAGTGACATCCCTGTTACGGGCCTCAGAGGCATCTCTAGCCTGCCATTCTCAAAACTACACCCTTGGTCCTCTACCCATCTGCTATCTTGATTAATGGTGTCTCCACTTTTCCAGTTGTTCTGGATAAAAACATCATAACCTACATCCAACCTTTCAGGAAATCCTTAGCTCACCTTCAAAGACATCCAGATTCTGACTGTGTCTCACTACCAGCCCCACACAGGCCACACATCCATGAAGCCAGCCCTGAATGGAGGATGTAGGTTCAAAACGCAAACCTCCCTGGCTCCCAGGCTAAGTTATAGCCTCTTACTCCCCTGTGTTGGCAGGTATTTAGCTAGAACTTCTGGTTTTCCAACTCTCTGCCTCCCTTTAAGACTACAATATGCTCAGGGCTCATGCAACAGGTGGGTCAGACCAAGAAGACGAGATGGGTTTTCTACACACATCTTGCTACGGGCATCCTCTCAAAATTAATCTGGAGCTAAGAAAACATGAAAAATTCTAGCTGGAGAGAAATTCTTCTGGGAAACAAGGAAAACTGGCAGATGCTTTTGTGATTTGCTTTGGGGTGTGTGTAACCCAATTCACAGCTGAGGCGTCCTTTGTTTATTATTTTTGTTTCTTGAGGCCATTGTTCTGCCCTGGCGAAGGTTCCACCAACTGCACCCAGGAAAGGAAGTGGTTGGAGCATCCTGCACATCCTCAGCCTGGGATCATGTCTGACATTCGCCTTCACACACCACTAAGCAGGTTTGGTCTCTTAGCAGCCCTGTGGCTGTTAAAATGTTAGCTCAGGGATCTTGGCATATCTTTGGTTACCCATCTCTCTCTCTCTGCCTCCTTACAACTGCCTTTCCCCAGCTTTCTGCAGGGAGGGGGGAACCCTTCCTTCCTCTCTTCTCTTGGAACGACTTGGCCAAGGGCCAATTTCAGGCCCAGGAAAAGCTGCCTCCTCCTCAGAAGTCAATCAGAAGGCAGCAAGAGGCTTCATTATTTCATCGAATGTCCATGCAGCAAATGTATCGGCCATATAGCTAAAAGCATCTGGGGGCATAATGCAGGTCTTAATCAGCCCCTTTATTATTTCGCTTGTCTGCACAGAGTGCCGAGATGTGGGAGCATGCTTCGGCCTTCAACAAAGCAGGGGCTGTGGGGAGAGGAGCCCCGGCATTGGGTTATTGCAAACCCAGTCTTGGAGCATGTGCTCCATGCAATGTCCTGCTTTCCTCTGAGCCAAGAATGAATGTCACACGCTCCCAGGTTCCCGTGGTACTTTTATCAGCAAGAAGAGCAGCACTGTTACTAAAGTCAGCACCAGGCCATCTGGCTGGAGCTTAGCCAGGGCAGAATGTGGAGGGTCTCTCTTGACACAGAGGAACAAGGCACGTCTGGGTGTCCGAAGGACCCACGTGGGGAAAGCTGAGAGTGCTCAGGGTGGGCAAGCCATGGAATGTTCCTGCTGACTGCATGCTCTTCCCTCTTCCTCCTCTGACCCTTCTCTTCCACTTCTTCCCCTTTCCGCCCCTTCTTTCCTTTAAAAAAAAATAATTAAAAATTTAATTTAGTTAACATATACTGTATTATTAGTTTCAGGGGTAGAGTTCAGGGATTCATCAGTTGCATATAACACCCAGTGCTCATTCCATCATGTGCCCTCCTTAATACTCATCACCCAGTTACCCTAGTTCCAGCAACCCTCAGTTTGTTCCCTAGGGTTGAGTCTCTATGGTTTGTCTCCCTCTCTGATTTTGTCTTATTTTATTTTTCCTTTCCTTCCCCTATGTTCATCTGTGTTGTTTCTTAAATTCCACATATGAATGAAATCACATGGTATTTGTTTTTCTCAGACTTATTTCACTTAACATAATACCCACTAGTTCCATTCACATCATTGCAAATGGTAAGATTCCATTCTTTTTGATGGCGGAGTAATATCTCATTGTATATATATACCACATCTTCTTTATCCATTCATCTGTGTTTTTTTTTTTTAATTTTATTTTATTATGTTATGTTAGTCACCATACAATACCTCATTACTTTTTGATGTAGTTGATGGACATGTGGGCTCTTTCCATAGTTTGGCCATTGTGAACATTGTTGCTATAAACATTGGGGTGCAGGTGCCCCTTGGAATCACTATGTTTGTATCCTTTAGATAAATACCCAGTAGTGCAATTGTTGTGTCATAGGGTAGCTCTATTTTTAACTTTTTGCGGAACCTCCATATTGTCTTCCAGAGTGGCTGCACCAGTTTGCATTCCCACTAGCAGTGTAAGAAGGCTCCCCTTTCTCCACATCCTCTCTGACATCTTCTTTTTGATTCTCCCTCTCATCTCTGCCCTCCTCTCTTCTCTCACTTTCCTCCAGTTCATCCTCCTCCCCTCCTCCTGGTCTAAAACCCAGCTCCTGGACCAATCAATCTCCCCCTCTCCTAGCAATCCAACTTCCCTCTGCAAAAACCCATCTCTACCACTAGGGGCGCTGTCTTGTTTTGGTAAGATACCAGGTGTCTACAAATTGGGGCACGGAGATGCAAATTTAGTTCATATTTATTTATTACAATTTAAATACATGCTCGTGAGTACCTTTGGGGGGTGGGGGACTATAGAGTTTAAAATAAAACAGCCTGATGGCTCAACCTTCAGTCAGGTTTTTTTTTTTAAATACAGTTATTTTAATTTTTTTTAATTTAAAGGTATGTTTTGGATTACACTAGTTTATCTTCACCTTGCTATTTTCCAGCTTGTTTTTGTCCCCCATTAATTAATTGATTGATTGATTGATTGATCCCTTTAGCAAATAAATACTTAGTAAACATCTCCTATGTTCTAGGCATAGTGCTAGTCCCTGAGGACTTAACAAGATACGTAAGAGTTGGGGCTCCTGGGTGGCTCAGTCGGTTAAGCGTCTGCCTTCAGCCCTAACCCTAACCCAGGGTCCTGGGACAGAGCCCTGCATCAGACTCCCTTCTCAGCGAAGAGTCTGCTTCTCCCTCTGCCCTTCCCCTGCTTGTGCTCTCTCTCTCTGAAGTAAATAAATAAAATCTTAAAAGAAGACCAAGATACATAAGAGTATAATTTCTATCTTTATGAGAGTATGGCCTGCCACAAAGAGCTGGAATAAAGGTACTATTATCATGGAATCACCCTCCAGTCTCCACAATGCAAAGCCCTCCGTATGAGTACACTTACTCCTGACATCCCGTGTAAAGGTGATTCAATCATCTTGTCCCTCACTAGACTGTGAAGCCATGGGAACAAGAAGTGACTGTGTCTTATTTATCTCGATCCCCACCCCCATCCCTAGAACAACTAAAACGGCCATTGTTGTCTTTTTGACTACAAAACTGGAACCATAAATGACAGTTAATGGCTAAAAACCAAAACAGTATGGTGGACCTGGGTTCATATGTTGACAGGTGGCAAAACCTGGGCTCTTTCGGTGTCCCAGAGCCTCAGTGTTGCTTATTTATAAAATGAAGGCTAATAATTCCTACTCTGTGTATTTCGCTGAGGGATAAGTACCGACTGAATGTTATATATTGAAACTGTTTTGCATTTGTGGCAACACATGGTAAACACCTATATCAATAAGATGGGTTTCTGCCCCAGAACTTCATGGTTAGTGGGGGAGGCAGATCTGTACACTGAAGGATTTTAGGTTCTGTGATGAAAGGTTTCAGAGTATAAGTTTTTCATCAAAATAGGAGTGATGACATTTACCTAGATAGAAGGGGGATTAGAAGAGGTGTCAGAAGTAGAGATGATGTTTGGTTTTTTTTTCCACATAGTTTCCTTTTTTTTAAATTATTATTATTATGTTATGTTAGTCACCATACAGTACATTAGTTTTTTTTTTTTTTTTTTTTTAAGATTTTACTTATTTAGGGCACCTGGGTGGCTCAGTTGGTTAAGTGACTGCCTTCGGCTCAGGTCATGATCCTGGAGTCCCTGGATCGAGTCCCGCATAGGGCTCCCTGCTCGGCAGGGATCCTGCTTCTGCCTCTGACCCTCCCCCCTCTCATGTGCTCTCTCTGTCTCAAATAAATAAATAAAAATCTTAAAAAAAAAAGATTTTACTTATTTATTTGACAGAGAGAGACACAGTGAGAGAGGGAACACAAGCAGGGGGAGTGGCAGAGGGAGAAGCAGGCTTCCCGTGGAGCAGGGAGCCCGATGCGGGGCTCAATCCCAGGACTCTGGGATCATGACCTGAGCCGAAGGCGGACGCTTAATGACTGAGCCACCCAGGCGCCCCAGTACATCATTAGTTTTTGATGTAGTGTTCCATGGAGATGAAATTTGAATGGATTGTTTAGTATTAGGTTTTCTGTTGGCCATGGAGTTGAGGGAGACAGGACAAGGTATAGTGAGGATGGTATAATTTTGGGGCAGAAAGAGCAGAATGTGGAATAGCCTGGTGGGTGTAAAGGCTTGTAAGCTGCTGGATGGTGGGTGGGGGGCCGGGGGGCACTCAGTGGGAGGTAAGACCAGAGAGGGTACCGGACAGCAAGTGCAAAGCCTCAGGTGACCTTACAAGGAGTTGGGAGCCACTGATGGCCTTTAGGTTTCAAGGGGTTGTGAAAAGATAGTTGTGCTTTTGGTGATGGCTGAGGTGAGGTACAGGAAGGGGCAGCTAGGGAATGCCGCAGCCATCCAGGGGAGAAGTAAGACGGCCGAATGCAAGAAGATGCTGAGGAAGGGCAGACCAAAAAGCCATCAGGAAGGAACCCACAGGACTCAGTAGCTAAATGGAACCTGGGGATCGAGGGAGAGGACATTGAGTGATGTCGCAAATGCTCTTGGTGCCCCACGTACATCTCCTTTGTGGGGCCATTCTCAAGAATGCCATGAGGTCTGGCTGCTGACAATGCACTGCTGTACCCTTTTTTGGAGAACTGCCTTGGGCCACGGGGAGCCCCTATGCTGGAAATGCCTGGGAAGTGAGGCAACCACCCCCCCACCAAGGGGCAGCCCACAGCCAATGGCTGACCAAGCTTTTGGTTGTACAAAAGCTTGGCCCCCTTGCCTCAGCGTGAAACAACTCTGTGGTACCACTTATGCTCCTGAGCTCCCCAGGGATCAGGCTAAGAGGCTAGACCTCAGCTGAACCCCCATCTTTACATGGCCTCTTCCCTAACATTTTCTTGATGAATCGCTTCCCTTCTCAGGCCTGGGCAAATGGATAGACAATGGTGCCTTACTTGAAGCTAGAAGATTGGGGTTGGGGAGGTTCTTTCCTGCCAAATCTATTAATGTAAATACAGTGCCATATGAGTATATCCCCCCATGTCACGTGTTCTTTACACTTACGGAGCCTAAAAGGAGAAAACATTATCTGGAGCACCTGTATACTTGTGTTTAGGTCTTTGACCAAATGCGAATTGATGGTTTTCTCTCTGGCACTTTGAGCAGATGGAGAAATGTCCCCATCAGTGCCCAGTCTCTGAGATGCCAACGCCTGCAGAGCAGTGGCCTCCAATCAAGTCCTGGTTTTGCCATTTGATGGTTGTTTGCCATTGGGTCAGACTACCCAGCCTCACCGACGCTTCTGATCTCGATCTCCCAGATGGAAAAACAATGGCGTTTATCTCACATGGTACTTAAATTAGCTGATACATGTTTGTGTTCATACTGCAGCCTGGGGTTCTGTGAGTACCAACCGTGGCTACTGCCACGGCGAATGTGATGCTAGGACAACAGGGATGCCCACCGGGGCCTGTACGTTTCTGAGGCTTTGATTTACCTCATCGAAGTCAGCAATGATCTCATTCAGCAGGCGCAGGCATTCCACTCCTTGGTTATTCATTTCAGTCTGCGAGTAAAAGTCTGCAAACCCCGGGATGGAGGCGAACATCACTCCGACGGCATCATAGGATTGAGAGTACAGCTCCTGCAGGGGCAGACACGGGGAGCCACAACTGGTCATCAGAGGTGAGGTTCTGCAGTGATGCTCCCTCGTGAGCACGTGCACCTACTCCCATGCACAGATGCCCACGGAGAGCACAGAGAACGGGGCCCTGACACTGGCATGTCAACACGGTAGCCATGTGCACTGGGGCCGTTGACAATTCATGGTCTCCAGCCTCGGCTGGGCCCCGAGTTCGGACTGCACACCCTTTGACCTTGGTCACCTTCCCTCTGTCGTCCTAGCAGCGAGTCCAAACCCTCACCACTGTCCCTGACTTCACCCCCCACTCGATTCCTCTCAAGAAATGATCTCGTCTCTTAAGTCTGTGGCAAAAACTGAGCCTCTTGGCAGTGACCCAGCACTGTTCCAATACTCATACTTGTGTCTACGTTCATATTTATTTTCATCCCCTTTGCTTCAACTGCAGACAATGCATTTTCCTTCTGCTGAAGGTCAACATTTCTACCAGATGTCTTGACAACTCCTGCTTCTAACTTCTTCAGCAGCTTCCTCCTGCGGTGATCCTTTTCTTTGTTCCTTCTCTCCTCCCCCTTTTCCTCCTCCTCTCCCTCCCCTCTTCCCCCTCCAAATGTGCCCTACATGGAATAGTATGACACCCCCTGGAACCTGAACACACTTGTGACCATCCACCCGTCTCTCTTCCTCTTTGCACAAACTTCCCAAATGAGTTCCCTCCATGGCCTGTCCCCACCCTGGCAGTGTTCATTCACATGTCAGGCCGAGATGAAGTGACTCTGGAGCAGGTCAGACTGCCGGCCAAAGTGGAAAGAAAAAATCACTCCGTGGCATGGGTATTGGCTCATCTTCCGGGACACCTATGTGGGTCAGTGGGGTCACCCTCCCAAGGCCACGAGTCTCTTGACTTTCCTTGTTTCAGTGATGCTGCATTTGCGTTCCTTATGCCTGGCTCCTTCAGAGATGCCTTTTTGGGGCTTACCTTCCATCTGAAATGTTGGTGATGGCTGTGGTTCTGTCCTTGACCCACGGCCAGGTTCAAAGTTCACACACTTACCCGGGCCATCTCGTTTACTCTCCACCTTTCACCAACATTCAGGCGGGACATCTTCTGAACTCCTGTCTTCGAGTCGGCTCCCGTTCTCAGGCTCTCAGCCGCTGGGTCCCAAGCTGGGTTGTCCTCATACTCTTCAAGCCACACCCAAGTGCCTCTTCTCTCCACCTAAACCTGCCCCCCTCATGCTCTCAGTGGGCGGCACCAGTGTCGCTGAGTCATCAAAGTTAGAGATGCTCAGAGATGCCTTGATGTCAGCCTTCTTCCCCATCATGTTTGGATTCAATAAACTGCCAAGTTCTGCTGGCTTTCTTTTTGTCTCAAGTATTTTTTTCTGCCCCCTCTGCCGTTGCTATTTATCAGGGCTACCCATTTTCCTCCCCACACTGGGTTCCATGACTTGTTTTGTCCCATCCCGAGGCATGTTCCCCATGGTGGCCGCAGTGATCTTTTAAAGACAGAATATTGACCATGCCTCTCCCATTCTTCAAACCTGCAGTGGCCCACAACTGCCCTCAGGATAAAGCTCAAACGCAGCTGCATGCCATATATTCATATATGCATGCCCCTGCCTCCACCTTTCTCTTCAGCCTCATTGCCTGCGATTCCCTGCATCGGACCTCATGTTCCAGAAACATTGTACTCCTGTGTAAGGACGGTAGCAGATGCTGCAGGTGTCCTGACTGACCGCCGCTCTCCCAGAAGTCCAGCTGTGGGCCCTTGCGTTGCTTTGCATGGAGCTTTTCTCTGACCACTAGAGGGCACTCAGCCCCGTGAGCAGCTGGCTCACTGCTCCAGGAAATTAATGTCCCTGGGGTGCTGCTCTTAACCAGCGACTGATGGCAATGGCCTTATAGTCCTCAGCTCCTTCACCCCTTGGGCCAGGCTGCTGTGAGGTATGCTATCAGTATGTCCCCGAATTCCCAGTGGGATAGAGCTCCAGTGCCCCACAGAGGTAACTAGTCTGATAATGCCTCATTTAGCCCTTCCCTCCCTTCCCACTCTCCAGCCTGCCTGGGCTTCCCGGAACCACCTCCAAGCGAATGACTTTCCACCAAATCCTTGTCTCAAGGTCTGCTTCTGGAAGAGCCAAACAAAGACACACACACACACTTCTCACACGTGCATGCTTTGATTCCTACTGTCTGTCCCTTGACGGGACATGTCCTTCCTTCTTGAAGTTAGCCTCCCTAACCAGGCTAACCTTGTTTTCTGCCTTCACTAGCCACGTAGATACCATGTCTGCTGTGAACCTTCCCAGACCCGTAGCTGGGGTCAGGAGGCTGAGCGCAGCGCCCCGGCAGCACCCGGGTTGCCTGCTCACCACCTACTGTCTGTCTCTTCCTTTGGAGTGAATTCCACGAGGCAAAGACCCCATGCCATTCACCTCGGTGCATTCTAATCATCCAGTTCATATTTTTTGGATGCCTGCACTATCATGCCTGCTGTTTATAGCATCTGGTACAAGGTAAATGCTCTAACCTGTTGAAATTAATTACTCCCTGGTCTTTGCAGGAAACATCAAAGCTTACCAAGCGCTTTCATATGAATTCAATGATTTAATCCTTGCAGTGATCCTGTGAAATAGGCACTGATTCTTATTGCACTTTACAGATAAGGAAAATGAGAGAGAGAGAGAGGAGTTAAGCTGTGGTTCTGGATCACACCACTAGCAGTGGATGAGCCAGGGTTGGAGGACCTCCAGGGCCCTCCCCATGCAGCTTGTCTCCTCTGGCTTTCATGCCCTTGGTCTGAGAAAGATGGTGACCCTGATTCAAGATCAGTAAGTCTTGAGCTTCAAGCGTGGATGAATCTGAGTACTTTCACTAGTCCTCGTCCAAAAGAGCACAGGCTGGTGGTGACTGGCTGCCCTGGGTTGGGTTGGGCAGGGCGTGGGGAGCGCAGATCATGGCCAAAGGGCAGAGCCATGGCACGTGGCTTTCAAGGGGTGGCCATTCACTTTGGCCTTGAGCAATGGAGTGATACCCCAGAAGGAGCCTGACTCTGTTTTATCTGACTCCTCCAATTGGCTGTGATTTGGAGGAAAAAAAAAAATCTGTTTATTACATATTATATTAGTTTGTTCAGGCTGCCATCACAAAGTGCCACAGACTGGGTGGCTTAAACATAGAAATTGATTCTCTCACTGTTCTGGACGCTACAAAGTCTAAGATCAAGGGTCAGCAGGGCTATTTTTTTTCCCTGAGGGCTCTCTCCTGGACTGGGAGATGCAGTCTTCTCCCCATGTCCTCACATGGTCTCCCCTCTGGGTGTGTGTACAGCTTAATCTCCCCTTGTAAGGACACAGTCAGAGTGGATTAGGGCCCTGCCCTAATGGCCTCTTTGGAACTTAATCACCTCTTTAAAAATCCTATCTCTAAATACAGTTGTATCCAGACGTACGGGGGGTTAGGACTTCAACAAATGAATTGTGGGAGACACAATTCAGCCCACAACACCCATTATTTCTATTTTCTGTTTTAAAACAGAGAGAAAAGAGAAAACCCTATCAGAGCCCTCTGAAACCCAGTCCATAATGACCCAGTGGGCCAGCTTGCCTCCCACTTCTGCCTGGTGATATATAAATGCTGCTGTGATATAAAGGCGGGTTGCCAGGGGTTTCTCATCAATCATTTATCTGCTTGAGTGTTCTCACAAATCCTAGCTCCTCCCAGCCTCTTCTTAGTTTTACTTCTCAGCCTCTGCCAACAACCGGAATGTTCCGGTTGCTTATACAACACAAATAATGCTAATAATGTCAGCTACATCCATGGAGCGCTTCCTGCGTGACAAGCATGACACAGAAGTCTGCACGCACATCACCGTGTTGAATGCTCACAAACCAGGACCTAGATACAGTTAAGATCCTGGTATACTTGTGGGGAAACTGAGGCACGTAGCCATTAAGTAATTCACCCAAGAGACAGAGCCGGACTTCATGCCCGCCCAGGCAGTCTGACTCCAGAGCCCATGGCACTGGGGCTGCTACTAATGCTAATAAGCAAACACCATGACTGCAACCACCACCCCAGTAACCACAATAATAATCAGGATAATGCCTGGGAATAAATGTCACTGGGACTGGAAACTGGATCCGTAAGTCCTTCTCAATGGATGGTTGATTGGACCTGTGGTGTTGGGGTTCCCAGTGCATAAACTTCAAGACCTATGACCTGAGTTCAGTTCTTGACTCTGCTGCATCCTATTAGGGGTTGGAGGGGTGGGACTGGGGTGGGAGGAGGCTCAGTCCTCTCTGTCAGACGCTATGTGGTGAAGAAAGTGGCCCTAAGGAATCAAACCCAGGGCAGTGGGCTTTCAGGTGCACCAGGTGGCCTATCTATACCGAACCCACCTTGCACTGGGCTGTGTTGGGCACTTCGTGTGTGTTCTCACCCGATTTAATTCCCACATTGACTCAGCAAGGTCTGTATTATTTCCTATGAATCAGATGAGGAGATGTACTCAGAGAGGTTGGGTAAACTGCCCTAGGTCACACAGCTAGTTAATAACAGAGATGGAATTTGTGCTGCACACAAAGGAGATGAGGGGTTTGGGGGGGCGTGGAAAAGTGCCAGCCACCTGCCTACACCTTTAAAGACAGCCCCATTGTTCAACTCTCCCCAGTCCGCTGCTTTGAGTATGCCATCTGTTTCTTGCTATTTTGGGCTCAAAGAACATAAGAGCACTGTAAACTGGGGAGGGACTGATGAATATAGAAAAGCTATTACTGTTCTATCATCCTCTTGGTCTGGGCTCCATAGAGGATTTTGAGCATATGCACATTTCCGGCTCCACCCAGATACCAGGATGAAGACTTAGCCAGCTCTTGGCCCAGGGCACCTAGGCCTGCCTGATTCCAGGTCCTGTGTTTCTTATACTGAGTTAAGCCACCTCTCTGCAGGGGAGAAACAATGTCTGGGGCCGGTTGACTTTATTAGCATCCTCAGGTTTCTGTGCGAACACCACCGCCTTGGAGAGACCCTCCGGTGTCAACCCCACCCCCTTCACCTACTCTGTTTTCTTACTCAGCTTCTTCTGTCCAAGGAGGACTGATCACTACTGGGCACTATCCTGTGTATTTATTCACGTTCATATTTATCTGCTCATGAAAACGCATGCTCCATATCGGCAAGGACTTTTCTTCTTCTTTGTTCACTGTTTGACCCCCAGGATCTAGAATGACACCTGGTACATGGTTTCCCTCAATAAATTCTTGCTGAGTGAATGAGTAAATGAGTCAGTGGGTGGGGGGCTCGGATTGCAAAGGAGCCAAAAATATAATGATGGCGTCTCACATCGGGCTCCCTGCTCGGCAGGGAGTCTGCTTCTCCCTCTCCCACTCCCCGTTTGTGTTCCCTCTCTCGCTGTGTCTTTCTCTGTCAAATAAATAAATAAATAAATAAAATCTTTAAAAAAAAATAATGATGGCTCACCCTTATCAAAAACAATAGCAATAACCCAGTGTGTTCCTAAAATGGGCCAAGCACCATTTAGATGTTTTATGCATAATTATTCATGGAAACATTGTAGCAACTGGAGCAAGTTGCAAAGAACTGTTACCTTGCAGGTGAGGAAAGTGAGGTCCAGGGGGATTCATCCCTTGCTCAGTTCCAGAGGTAGTGAGAAGAGGAGCCAGGACTGAATCTAAGGCATCAAGCTTTTGAGAATACCACACAGCTTTTCTATACCGAACCCACCTGGCACCAAGCTGGGCACTTCATATGTTCTTACTCAGTTGAGTTCTCACACTAAAGTCAGCAAGATTGGAATTATTTCCTCATGAATCTGATGAAAAAAATGGGTTCAGAGAGGTTGGGTAAGCTGCCCCAGGTCACACGGCTGGCGAGGGGCAGAGACGGAATTTGTGCTGTATGCACTTTGCAGCAGCCGGGACACCTGCCCTCTTTAGTGTCCTTTCTGCAGGTCTTAAAAAAGCTACAATGAGCAAGTGGGTTTCCCGGGACTCAGCAATAGCTTGACACTGATGACCCAGCTCAGGGGGCCTCATCTGTGAGAAAGTACCTGCCCTGGGGTGGTGAGCACTAATCTAAGTCAAATGTCCAGCGGAATAGCAGAAGCTTCCAGAACATATGTGGGGTGACACAGCCGGAACCAACTGGACAGGATGTCCCAGGGGGCAAAACTCTGTCCACCGCCCTGTGTTTAGATGGTTTGAGTCATTGCTTATCACTGCTGTCCCTTCTCTCCCGCTCAGGTCCTAACAGCAATGTGGGACAAAACACAAGATTTAGCTTTGAAGTTGCACAGACCTGGGTGTGAATTCAAGCTCACTACTCACTAGCTTTGTGTTCTTACTTCTCTGAGCCTCACTTTCTTCTTCTACGAAATGGGGATAATCATTCTTATCCGTGAGCAGTGTTGTGGCCTTGTGGAGGCTGGGCCCCAAACTCACAATGTTCAGACCCCAACCTTTCAGACGTTTGTATCATAGTTCAGATTTGTAGCAAGAAGAGAAGCTAAGAATGCTTCTCACAATAACAAAACAGGTTATTGGGAGTTCCCACAGATTACAACATTCCTGCCTCTTCCTCTGTCACCCCTTCTCATGTTACTCTGTCTGACACACACACACACACACACACACACACACACACACGCTAGTCTTGCCAACAACCCCCCAGAGGCACGATAGGGGCAGTGCAGCACAGAGGGAAGAAATCTGCGGGGCTGGATTTTTTTCACAGCTTTGCTTCCATACAGGGAGGCATGTCATGGCCCTCTCTGAGCCCCCGAGTCCTCGTCAATAATGTGGGGTGATGAACTCTCTTCTTAAGACTGTAACTAGAACCAAATATCATTTACATCAATTGCTTATCTCAGTAGCTGAGATAGTGCCCAGTGCCCAGAACACAGCAGGTGTTCCGTAAATGGTTATTTATAGAGTGAACATTCTCTAGGCCATGTCAAAACTTTGTGGTTAAGCCTGGTCAACTCTGAACTATTTAAGTATTTAAAACCTCAAAGAAGCATGACAAGACATTGGATTGAACATGTCTTCTATGATTAAGGCCGAATCTGTCATTTATTTTGCTCATTGGAGGTTTGGCCTGGACCACAGCTGATGACCTCAGCATCTCTGGGGGGTTTCCTTCCTTTCAGGATAAAGCCAGTAAATTCTTGCTCTTCCCCCATGGTCCCAGATACCTCATTGTTTTGGTGCTTTAATTGAAAAGCAGCTTTCTTTTCATTTCTCTTCTGGTTTTCCCTCTGAGGGCTCCAGTGTTTCACCTGCTCCTTCTGGTGGTCATGGCGGATGCACAAGTCTCTCTACTTTCTTGGATTTGTCAAGAAGCTCTTGCAACAAAGCCCCTGACCTTAGGGGGCCTTGAGAAAAGCAGGCCTGAAGCTGATTCCAGAGAACTCTGTCTGTTGAGGAGGGTGGGCGGTGCTTGGATGTGCATCCAGGAGACCTCCAAGGTCTTGATGCATCAAGATTATTCAAGCAGCAGCTTATTCATTGCCTTTACTTCTCTTCCACTGATCTTGCTGTGGTGGCTTGGGTGGGAAATGGACCTGGGGGGGGGGGGTCTCTCCTAGTTCTACCCTCAGGCAAGGGTCACAAACCCAAATGTCTTCAGCATATCAGCAAGTAACATCAATAGTAGCATCTTACACACACTGGGAGAGACACTGGAGATCCCACTCCATGGATACACAGAAACATGTGCACAGATGTATCTAAAACTCAAATTTCAATCTAGTCTCGGGATGGAGCTCACATGAAGTCCATCTTACAGATGTGGTCCCTAGCGCTGGGGAGGCCCTGCGTAGACCTGGTGGAGCTAGGCAGTCTGGGTGGCCTGGCACTCTGGGGTAGCATGGTCTCTATTCTCGGGTGCTCACACAAGGGCAGTGGGAATTCTCCCAGAGCTCGGGACCAGTGTGTCCAACTGCACCCCCGCCCCCACCCCCCCTCCTCACAGCCAGACAAGCCTGGGCTCACCTCATTGTCTCGGTCTTTCTCCAGGAAGTGGCGGGCCACGTGGCTGGGCAGAATGTTCCGGAGCATGTTCTCGTTGTGTTCCCTCAGCTCCCTCATCTCATTGATCTCCTCTTTGGCTTGTACTCGCCAAAGGAAGTCAAGGCGGGCTGTGTACTCCAGCTGCCATGTGTGAGAGAGAGAGAGAAGGAACTGGTGAGATCTCAGGGTATGGGCTCAAGTACGCAGGGTGGGAGGCTTCTCTGGAACCCTTCACAAACGAAAGAGAGCCGAGCTGAGCATGCTGAGGGGCATTTTGCCTGATGCCCAGAGATGGGAGGGTGATTAGACTCCACGGGGCTGTGTACCTTCCCTTCCTACCATTAAGGCACCTATGATTTTGTGATTGTGTGATTATCTGGGGATGACTGTGTCGTCTATAGATTGTAGGCACTGTGAGGTCAGGAGTCCCTTCACCTGCTCAATGATATCTTTACCCTGGAGCACCGTGCCCAGCGCAGGGGAGATACTCCGTCAATATTTGTTGACTCCACAAATAAATTCCAATGATAAAGCCAGCTAACACTTAGATGGTGCTTGCTACGTATCAGCTATTATTCTAACCAATATACATCCATTCACTCCCTTCATCACACAACAACCTTGATAGGGAGGTATCATTATCAACCCTTATTTTGCAGATGAGAAAGTCAAAGCAAACAGGGCTGAGTGACTTGACCAAAGTCACACACTAGTGAGGGGGGAAGCCAGGACTGGAGGTAACTCCAGAGTCCCACTTCAGAGTCTCAGCTCTTTATCACTAGGCAAGAAGAAGAAATGAATTGAAGGATTGTGGATTTTAAGTTATGACACAGATGTGCCTTAGAGTCCCAGTCCCACATTCAAACGCTATAACCTGGACTTTTGACTTCATCACAGATTCCTCATCTCTACCACTGGGATGAAGACTAATGAGCATGCAGGACTGGAAGAAGAAATTACTTAGGAAGTTACAGAGAAGGCACATGGCTCACAGTAGGTACTCAATGCACATTATTAGTTCCCCTTTGTCTTAGTTTCCCTGTACTGGAGAGCAGACAGCTTCCTTTTTAAAGAATCTCCTATACCATATTTACCACAGCTTTGGGGACGCCATTACTTCCAAGTCTGTTCTTTTTTTAAGATTTTATTCATTTATTTGTCAGAGAGAGAGGGAGTGAGCACAAACAAGGGGAGTGGCAGGCAGAGGGAGAAGCAGGCTCCCCGCTGTGCAAGGAGCCTGATGCAGGACTCGATTCCAGGACCCAGGGATCATGACCTGAGCCTAAGGCAGACTCTTAACCAACTGAGCCACCCAGGTATCCCTATTTCCAAGTCTTTAACTGTCAAAATGGACAATATTCTGCATGGCCAAACACATGATTAAATGTCCTGAATTCAAGGGCTTAAAACATTCAGCTAGTTCCTTTCCTTTGTCTTAGGTGAAAGTCTCAGTGGATGGTAAAAATATGGAAAGACAGAGGCACAAGATAACTCCCTCAGCAGAATTTGTAACAACAAAAACTGGAAACAACCCGGGTGCTCATTTTGTTGGTCCAATAAACTATAAAAAAAGGGGAAAACTGTTTTTCTATACTTTGATGGACTAGTCTCCAAGGTAGAGAAAAGTGTGTAGAGTATGCCACCTTTGATCTAAAAAGGGAGCATCTAAAAAAGGAGCATGGATGGAACTAGAGGGTATTATGCTAAGCAAAATAAGTCAATCAGAGAAAGACAAATACCTTACGATTTCACTCATGTGAAATTTAAGAAACAAAACAGATGAACGTATGGAAAGGGAAGGAAAAATAAAATAAAATGAAAATAGAGAGGGAGGCAAACTGTAAGAGATGCTAGACTCTAGGAAACAAACTGAGGGTTGCTGGAGGGGAGGGGGTGGAGGGATGGGGTAACTGGTTGATGGGCATTAAGGAGGGCGTGTGATGTAATTAGCACTGGGTGTTGTACGCAACTGACGAATCACTAAATTCTACCGCTGAAACTAATAATACACTATATGTTAACTAAATTGAATTTAAAATAAAGAATTAAAAAATAAATAAAAAGGGGGCATCTACTTCTCTGTCTGTCCACATGTATATATTTTTCTTTATTTATTGGGAAATTGAAGAATAAAAGGTCAAACATAAAAACTCATTACCAAAGAGATGAGGAAGGGAGGAAATAGGGTGGAGAAATAGGGATAGAATTTAAAGTTTTAAAATTATATCTTGTTTCATAAACTTGGCTATTGAATCGTGGAAACATTTAATTATAAATTATAAAACTAAATAGTTGTTTGGGGCGCCTGGGTGGCTCAGTTGGTTAAGCGACTGCCTTCGGCTCAGGTCATGATCCTGGAGTCCCGGGATCGAGTCCCGCATCGGGCTCCCTGCTCGGCGGGGAGCCTGCTTCTCCCTCTGACCCTCCCCCCTCTCATGTGCTCTCTCTCTCTCATTCTCTCTGTCTCAAATGAATGGGTGAAATCTTTAAAAAACAAACAAACAAACAAAAAAACCTAAATAGTTGTTTAAAAAAACTCTGTTAAAACAGACAGACAAGGGGGCGCCTGGGTGGCTCAGTTGGTTAAGCGACTGCCTTCGGCTCAGGTCATGATCCTGGAGTCCCTGGATCGAGTCCCGCATCGGGCTCCCTGCTCGGCAGGGAGTCTGCTTCTCCCTCTGGCCCTCCCCCCTCTCATGTGCTCTCTCTCATTCTCTCTCTCATATAAATAAATAAAATCTTAAAAACAAAACAAAACAAAACAAACAAAAAAAACCAGACAGACAAGCAAATGAATCTATGCATAGAACCACATCGAGAAGAGATATTCCAAATATATTTAACACAATAATTTGATGACACATTTGTAGAGGGAAATAGTCTAGGATAAAAGGAACTCAAAAAGAAGCTTAAAACCATTTATAACAGTGTCTGTGTCATTGCTCTTAGACTACTGCATGTGAATTGCAGGATAAATCAAATGGGTAATTGTATTGTTGTCACTGAGAACTGGTATTTCTGGGAAGAGAAAAAGGAGACGCAGATCTAAAATTGATGGGTCTAAGCCAAAAGTCAGTAAGTATTACTATGAACTCATGGTATGTACATATTTCCTACCTTGGCCCACTGATATAAAAGCCTAGAAATAATGAAAATCTAGTAGCAGTGGGAACTCCCAGTGTCCAGACTGTGGTTTAAGTATCAATTCCTACAAAAGTGACCTCACACTCTTTGCAGAAATGGCCGAAATTTAGGGCAGGAAACGTACAAGCCTGGACCATCTTTTCACACCAGAAAATAAGAAGACCCCCAGAGACGATGGGGGGTTATGTGAACAGGCTCCCACGTGTCAAAGATGTGACAAAGGGAGCTTTAATAAGGATAGTGATTACGGGCGCCTGGGTGGCTCAGTTGGTTAAGCAACTGCCTTCGGCTCAGGTCATGATCCTGGAGTCCCTGGATCGAGTCCCGCATCGGGCTCCCTGCTCGGCAGGGAGCCTGCTTCTCCCTCTGACCCTCCCCCTTCTCATGTTCTCTCTCTCTATCTCATTCTCTCTCAAATAAATACATAAAATCTTTTTTAAAAAAAGGATAGTGATTGCAATGGATTGAAACACAGGGAATATGGTAGCATGCCTCAGTTCACAATGACACTTAAGACACACAACCTCATTGATCATCTCTGGACAGTGCTTGGGGACAGGCTGACTGGGAAATTTATGGGGAAATGCAGTGACAGGGAAAGAATTAATCATTTATCCTGCCTTTGCTTTATGAGCTGTACTTGGAAGAGTAGGCTCTCCTTCAAACTATATTCTAGCTAATAACTTATGGACTGTTGATAGAATGGAGATATCACCACCTATATAATAAATGAATAGAGGCTATTCTTGTCAATAGTTGCTAATAGAAAAAAAGAAAAGCAGATATTACGTGCCTGTTAAAAGTAATTCACAAAACCAACCAATAACATATTTTTGTAGAAAAAAATTGAAACTGAATCTCACCAAGTTTCTAAACATAACTACCAATACAGGAAAAACAATGGACAGAGGAATGTGTTAAATGCCCTGAGAGGATGCAATTGACAAACTCTAAACTGGGAAGCATTATAGAAGTTGGACGACTCTCACAAAATGTTGCCAGAAAAAAAGATATGGAGAGTTATCTTATAAATTAACAGACTTAGGAGATAATCAACCAATGGCAATACACAGATTTTATTTGCGACCCAAATCAAATAAACAAACTAAAAAAAATATAATTATAAACCAATTAAGAAATTGAAACAGTGCCTAGAGGCTTGACAATGTTAGAGAAACACCATTTTCTTTTTTAAAGTGTCTAATAGCATTGTGATTAGGTTAAAATTCTCTATCTTGATTAGATGCATATTGAAGCATTTACAGATGAAATGACAGGACATCTGGAATTTGCTTCAAAATAACTGGGAAGGAGCGATGAGCAAAATGAATAGAGAGATAGGCGAGAAAAGACACAGGAGTTGAAGTTGTGGGACTATTATGCATTTCATAAACTTTTGTATATGTTTGAGATTTTCCATAAGAACAAAAATGAGTGGAGGCAGCATGTTGCACAAAAGAATGCTGGTCTTAAGGAAGGCGTGTATTCCAATGAGTACTGGGTGTTATACGCAAACAATGAATCATGGAACAGCAAAAACTAATGAAGTACTGTATGGTGACTAACATAACATAATAAAAAAAAAAGGGAAAAAAATAAAATTCGTATTAACTACCAAAAAAAAAAAAGAATGCTGGTCTTGACTGTTTTGTTGTATGACTTTGGGAAAGTCATTCAACTTCTGGTATTTTGGTTCCCCTTCTAAAAAAATATGGATAATTGTCCCCATCATGTCTAGTTCAAGAGGCATGGATTATTATATGGATCTATTATATGGACCAAATCACATTCTGCATGCAAAAGAATTCTGAAATGTCTAAACTATAGATTTATAAGGTACTACTTCAACTTAAGGCAGCAGCGGATAAGGTCAGATCAAGGCTGTGCTTTAGCTTTTTTCCTTCCAGATTCAAGAGCATCAAATTTTAATTTGTCAAGTTGTAGGACAGTATTTTCTTACCCAAATGAAATGTTTAGTTATCTCCGTTAAAAATGCATGCTTGGTTGAAGCAGATCATTTTTTATTTATTTTCTATTGAAAACCTTTCATCTGGTTGAATTCAGCTTGGAAACACAGGTAGGGAAACCTTGAGTCCTGGAGTTGATTTCAGCCAGGATTTTTCAGTTACAAGTTAAGAACACACTTTGCATTTCAGCCAGGCGACGGCTGGTCACTGTGCTGAAGACATGTCCATAAGGAGACTCTAATCCGAGGACAGCTCTGTCTCTTGACAAAGCAAGTCTCATGCAGGCAGGCATCGCTTATTTAATCTCCAGGGGAGGACAGTAAGCCTTTCCAGTTTACTAAAGATCTAGTGTATTGTGCACCTACTATGTGCACGGTGCTTGGCATACAAAGATGCGTGAAATTCAGTCTCTGCCTTTGATTTGCTCTCAGCTCAGTGGTGAAGGGAGAAAAATGAAAGACAGAGGAACATGTTAAGGAAAGAGAACATTTCAACACACTGGTTAGAGCAGGCGTGGACAGCAAGGCAAAGCACACAGAAGGCACACAGAAGCTTTAAAAGTGAAAATTCTTCAGCATTTGCTCAAGAACTGTCAATGGATTTGGAAGTGCAATCTCTTTCTTGATTTTCACCAGACTATTAGGGAACTGGCTCTATGAGAAGAGTACCAAGGGAACCAACACTTATTGTTCAGAAGCTTTGTGCCAGGCTCTTAGCACAGAATGAGAGCTAACACTGGCCCGGCTCTTGCCTTGGACCAGGCACTGTTTTAAGCCCTTCCTGTATACCGAAGCTCATTTAGTCACACGACTCAACAAGGTGGATACTTTATTATTTCCATTTCACAGGTGAGGAAATGGAGTCACAGTAAGGCAAAGTCAATTGCCCAAGGGCTCACAAATAGAGACTGGCTTTGAACTCAGAACATTCTGACGCCAAGCTGTGACTTAACCCCTGCTCTATATGTATTTGACCTCATGGAGCCATTCTCCAACTCCTTGCAGGGAACTATTATCCTTCTTATTTTACAGGTAATTTGGAATGTGAGCTTGAGGGGCTTGAGTTTCTCAATGTCACCCATCCTCCCAGTTGGTTCCAGGGGCGCCTGGGTGGCTCAGTCGGTTAAGCATCTGACTCGATTCCAGCTCAGGGCACGATCTCAAGGTCATGAGATGGAGCCCCACATGGGGCTCCACACTGGGTGTGGAGCCTGATTGGGATTCTCTCTCTCCCTCTCCCTGCCCCATGTGCTCTCTCTCTCTTAGTCTCTCTCTCTAAAAAAAAAAAAAAAGAATACCTGGTTCCAATGCTTGGGTCTTTCCTTCTAAGCCACACAGTCCTGGTGCCTGTCTTTATCTGACCTGGAAGTAAGTGACTGGAGACCTCATTAATCTCTGTCCCTGTGTGCAGAGACGGCTTCCTCTGCTATAAATGGAGCCCCTGAGCCAAGCCCACACCTCAGGGCTGCAAGTGAACCAGGCGAGGCGGCAGGCACCTGACTGCTCTCTGTCTCTCCACCGTTTAGAACGTTCACCTGCCTTGGAGGAGGAGGAAGCAATGGCATAGACCTTCAGCATATGGACAAGATGAAATTTCCCAAGTGTTCAGTTACATAAGTCCCTCTGTCCCTCTGGAGATGTCTCATTACACATGCTCCTACCAAGGCTGCTGCTGTGTACCAGGCATCGATGGGCACCATTCAACCTTCAATAAAATTAAGGGCCTCTGAGTCCCAAAAAGAGAAACTGGTGGAAATAGGTAGCAGACCCAGGGATAGGCAGACTTGGGTTCAGAGAAACAGGAGCCTGACATGTGCGGTAGACAGAGGACACAGAAGTGATGCAGGTGAGGCAGAAAGACTCCTCTCGCAAAGAGAGACAGGGGCACTCAGTGGGGAGAGAACAGACCCGGAAGTTTTGGATTCCTGTTTCTACCTGGTGTTCCTTGTTGGCTTTAAGACCTCGGTGACTTGGGACCAGATGCATAATAATACTTTCCCTGTTTGTCTCAGAGGCCTGTTTTCAAAGTAAAGCATCCATAGCTTAGGATTTTTGAAAACGTATTCTATGTGCAAACCACTGGGATTAGTATATTACAATTATATTCTTGTATAATCTTATAACAGCCCTATGAAGTAGAACCTGTTAGCACACCCATTTTATAGGCGAGAAAACTGGGACTCAGAAAGTTAAGTAAATTGCTGAAGGTCGCATAGCCACTAAGTGGCGGAGTTGGGGCTTGAATACTTCTTCCCCACTCCAAAGCCTATAGACCTGAAACTGCTACCATTATGGGATGCGATTATGTAATTTTAGAGCCTTTTGAAAGTTAAAAATAAGGAGCCATATCAGATTTCACTTAAGCACTCGGATCCTCACTATGCACAAATATACTCTTACTTTACACATAATCTTAACATGGTTAGGCTGTCTGTTTCCCAGGACAAACGGGGCATAGAACAAATTGAATCAGAATGTTAGAAGGGTACTGAGGAAGGGGCACTGCCAGGGCACAAAACACTTCTGTAAGGTGACAGAGGAGAAAGGAGCATCCTTCCTATTGTGGAATGAGCCCCTCACTCTGAACTTGCTCTCTCTTAGTTATCTCAGTGGGGTTGCTCATTCCTCAGTTTCAAACATGGGGGGTGGAGGGTGGGTATGTTTCTCTGTAGGATCGCCTTGTCTGATTCCGTCTTCATAGCCCTCAGATGGATTGCTGTTTGCGTGTCAGACTAAGGAGTTCTCCTCTGTAACCAGAAGCCATCGAGACATGGACGATATGACCCCAGCTCTGACAGATAGCCAGAAATACCTAAATACAGGAATTCTGGAAATGGCTAGACTTTGATATTTGGCTTATTAGTTTGCCATGATTTCAGCTCAAATTTAAAACCAAATCAAAGTCACACTGCAAGATTGAGTGCCTGGGGCCATTTTGTTGGTATGTTAACTTCTTTCTTTCTCCACTCTAGAGAAGTGGAAAGGGTGGGCTTTGGAGAAAGATCTGGGTTTGAAACTGGTTCCCCCCACCCCCCAACTAGATGAGTAGCATGACTTTCTTCATCTGTGAAACAGGACTGCTAGTAACTACCATTCTGGGTTGTTGGGAGGATGATACAGATAATAGAGGCACAGAGTAGGAACTTGATACACACTAACCCTTCTTCCTTATTAAGTCTTTATACTTGTCTTTCTCCCACCTTGACTACATGTTACCATCCCCCTTATTACACATCACTTCGTATGTATTTCTAGGTTCTCGGGGTTTGGAGCTGTTTCAGGGTTTCTCAGGGTTGATTACCTCCGTGTTTTCATGGTGATTTCTCAGCACTATGTTTCTATTTCTGCTCTAGCTGAGAGTCTTCCTGTTTTGTTTTTCTCCTTTTCTGGTTACTTTTTTTGAAGTGCATGCAGATCAAAGAAAGATGGACAGGGATCCAGGGCAGGGCAGAGAATCTGGCAGGACCTGGCTCTACCAGGGAGAGAAAATCTCCCCTGTTGATGAACACCACAGCATTCATGGTCTGAGTCCACATGGAGATGTCCTACTGGCCACAGCAGGTAAATCCCCTAGGCAAAGCCTGGTATCACGCTCCCATGCAGAATAAATTCTTGCCCCTCCAACTCTTGAAGTCCTTGGACGGCCTGATCCGCACATAGCAGGTCCCTCATCGCATTATTTAGGGTCTGCTCTCCTCCAGGAGATTGGAACCCTTGGGACCAGGGATGGGGTTTTATACAGAGCTAGCCACAGTACCCACCCCAGATCCCAGCAGAGTAGCGGCTCATAGGGAAATGGCATCGATATACTTTAGGTACTTTATCTGCTTGAGACAAATAAGGAATGAAGCATTTCCTATACTTATGTGAGGCAGTGCACAAAATGCTGCACATGATAATCTCAAATGGTTCTTCAAAACGGACCCATCCAGGTGTTGTTATCCTATTTCACACCTGAGGAAGGCCTCTAGGTTCAGGGAGATGAGCGACTTGCTTAAGGCCACAAACTGAGAGTCAGAGGCTGGATTAAGACCCTGGCTCAACTGATCCTCACACCTGCATGGTTCCCTAGACCAGCACACAACTTCTCCAGGAATGACTTTATGTAGGCAATAATGGAACTGGGAGAGATCCTGGTTTGCCTCAGGCAGAAATTGAAAGCATTTTTTTTTTTCATAACAATGATCTCTTTGAAAGAGATATACCTGAAAGACATAAAAACCACCTGGCTTGCCAAATCGTCATCTCCAGCTTAGTTTTTTAAATTAGGTGGTCTTTATTAGGAATCGATTCATTAAGAATCACCACTTCCTGTAAGCAGTTGATAGGTCATTTGCTGCAAAGAAGAGCAGAAGCGTTGTAGGTCAGTTTCACGGTAATGGGAAATGCCAGGTAGCAGAGGGGAGTTTGAGCAAAGTGTTAGATTACCTGCTGTCCATGGTAGAACACAGCAAGGAGGAACATGGCCATCAGCAGCAGTGATGCCTCCTTTGTCCCCAGGAAATCTCTGTTGGAAGAAGAAAGGCAAGTGGGGTGAATTTACAACCATGGAGGGACCCCAAAGAGACTCAGTAGCAGACCAGGTTCAGAAAGGAGCAGGATAAACAGAAAGGACGGAATATTTCTTGAGCACCCACTAGGTGATAGGGGCTGCTGTCTGAGGGTTTCCATATAGGCTAATTCAGAAATCAGTTGATTCTCCAAGGTATGAGGTCACTTTGGTCACACCTGGTGGACGAGTCTAGAGTCTAGCATCTCGACAATGCACTTACATTGATAAAAATGTTTTCCCTTTGCAGAACACTCCCAGACTTCAAAGAGCTTTGAAACTTTCTCATCACAAAAATCCATGCGAAGACCAGGATCTCTTCCTCTTTCTTTAGATGTTAGTCTATTTAAGGGACAGGTACATGGTGCTGATGATATGGCTGTCTCTGTTCTTTTTTTTTTTTTTTGGCTGCCTCTGTTCTAACTGCTTTCACTTAGATTCTTTTTTTTTTAAATTTAATTTTATTATTGTTATGTTAATCACCATACATTACATCATTAGTTTTTGATGTAGTGTTCCATGATTCATTGTTTGTGCATAACACCCAGTGCTCCATGCAGAACGTGCCCTCTTTAATACCCATCACCAGGCTAACCCATCCTCCCACCCCCCTCCCCTCTAGAACTCTCAGTTTGTTTTTCAGAGTCCATCATCTCTCATGGTTCGTTTCCCCCTCCGATTCCCCCCCCTTCATTCTTCCCCTCCTGCTGTCTTCTATTTTTTTTTTCTTAACATATATTGCATTATTTGTTTCAGAGGTACAGATCTGTGATTCAACAGTCTTGCACAATTCACAGCGCTCACCATAGCACATACCCTCCCCAGTGTCTATCACCCAGTCACCCCATCCCTCCCACCCCACCCCCCACTCCAGCAACCCTCAGTTTGTTTCCTGAGATTAAGAATTCCTCATATCAGTGAGGTCATATGATACATGTCTTTCTCTGATTGACTTATTTCGCTCAGCATAACACCCTCCAGTTCCATCCACGACGTTGCAAATGGCAAGATCTCATTCCTTTTGATGGCTGCATAATATTCCATTGTATATATACACCACTTCTTCTTTATCCATTCATCTGTTGATGGACATCTTGGCTCTTTCCACAGTTTGGCTATTGTGGACATTGCTGCTATAAACTTCGGGGAGCACGTACCCCTTCAGATCCCTACATTTGTATCTTTGGGGTAAATACCCAGTAGGGCAATTGCTGGATCGTATGGTAGCTCTATTTTCAACTTTTTGAGGAACCTCCATACTGTTCTCCAGAGTGGCTGCACCAGCTTGCATTCCCACCAACAGTGTAGGAGGGTTCCCCTTTCTCCGCATCCCTGCCAACATCTGTCGTTTCCTGACTTGTTAATTTTAGCCATTCTGACTGGTGTGAGGTGGTATCTCATTGAGGTTTTGATTTGGATTTCCCTGATGCCGAGTGATGTTGAGCACTTTTTCACGTGTCTGTTGGCCATTTGGATGTCTTCTTTGGAAAAATGTCTGTTCATGTCTTCTGCCCATTTCTTGATTGGATTCTTTGCTCTTTGGGTGTTGAGTTTGATAAGTTCTTTATAGATTTTGGGTACTAGCCCTTTATCTGATATGTCATTTGTAAATATCTTCTCCCATTCTGTCAGTTGTCTTCTGATTTTGTTGACTTGTTTCTTTTGCTGTGCAAAAACTTTTTATCTTGATGAAGTCCTAATAGTTCATTTTTGCCCTTGCTTCCCTTGCCTTTGGCAATGTTTCTAGGAAGAAGTTGCTGCGGCTGAGGTCAAAGAGGTTGCTGCCTGTGTTCTCCTTTAGGATTTTGATGGACTCCTGTCTCACATTGAGGTCTTTCAACCATTTGGAGTCTATTTTTGTGTGTGGTGTAAGGAAATGGTCCAGTTTCATTCTTTTGCATGTGGCTGTCCAATTTTCCCAACACCATTTGTTGAAGACACTGTCTTTTTTCCATTGGACATTCTTTCCTGCTTTGTCAAAGATTAGTTGATCATAGAGTTGAGGGTCCATTTCTGGGCTCTCTATTCTGTTCCATTGATCCATGTGTCTGTTTTTGTGCCAGTACCATACTGTCTTGATGATGACAGCTTTGTAATAGAGCTGGAAGTCCAGAATTGTGATACCGCCAGCTTTGCTTTGCTTTTTCAACATTCTTCTGGCTATTCGGGGTCTTTTCTGGTTCCATACAAGTTTTTAGGATTATTTGTTCCATTTCTTTGAAAAAAGTGGATGGTATTGATGGGGATTGCATTGAAGGTGTAGATTGCTCTAGGTAGCATTGACATCTTCACAATATTTGTTCTTCCAATCCATGAGCATGGAACGTTTTTCCATTTCTTTGTGTCTTCCTCAATTTCTTTCATGAGTATTTTATAGTTTTCTGAGTACAGATCCTTTGCCTCTTTGGTTAGATTTATTCCTAGGTATCTTATAGTTTTGGGTACAATTGTAAATGGGATCGACTGCTTAATTTCTCTTTCTTCTGTCTTGCTGTTGGTGTATAGGAATGCCACTGATATCTGTGCATTGATTTTATATCCTGCCACTTTACTGAATTCCTATATGAGTTCTAGCAGTTTTGGAGGGGAGTCTTTTGGGTTTTCCACATAAAGTATCATATCATCTGCAAAGAGTGAGAGTTTGACTTCTTCTTTGCCGATTAGGATGCCTTTTATGTCTTTTTGTTGTCTGATTGCTGTGGCTAAGACTTCTAATACTATGTTGAATAGCAGTGGTGATAGTGGACATCCCTGCCATGTTCCTGACCTTAGGGGGAAAGCTCTCAGTTTTTCCCCATTGAGAATGATATTTGCTATAGGTTTTTCATAGTTGGCTTTTATGATATTGAGGTATGTACCCTCTATCACTATACTCTGAAGAGTTTTGATCAGGAAAGGATGCTGTACTTTGTCAAATGCTTTTTCTGCATCTATTGAGAGGATCATATGATTCTTGTTCTTTCTTTTGTTAATGTATTGTATCACATTGATTAATTTGCAGATGTTGACCCAACCTTGCAGTCCAGGAATAAATCCCACTTGGTCGTGGTGAATAATCCTTTCAATGTACTGTTGGATCCTATTGGCTGGTATTTTGGTGAGAATTTTTGCATCCATGTTCATCAAGGATATTGGTCTGTAATTGTCCTTTTTGATGGTAACTACTATGAAGGGATAGAATATGACTCTAAAAATGAAAAATAAAATTTTTTTAAAAAAAGGGATGATAAGATGTTGGTTGAAAATGAAAAGAAAAAAGAAAAAAAAAAGAAAAGACAGTAAAAAAAAATTAACTTTGAAAGACTAAAAGTCTGTTAGAAGAAAGTGCCTCCCAAAATTTTAGAGAAAGAAAAAGTTATATATGTACAAAAATAAGGGTTGATATGATGAAGGGATGGTATATGACTGTAAAGATGATAATTCTAAAAAATTTTATAAAAGGAATTGATAAGAAGTTGTTTGAAAAAAGAAAGAAGAGGATTTAAAAAAAGAAAAAAAAGGGAGTGAATGTGATCAGGCAGGAAGAGTAGAACAAAACCATACACTAGATATTTAGGGTATATTTTGATCTGTTAGAAGAAATTATCTCAAATCTCAAAAAGTGGTCGCTTTTCTGATGAGAGAGTTGTTGCTCTTCTTTTCTTCGATCTCCTGTTGAGTTTGTAGGTGTTCAGAATGGTTTGATCCCTATCCAGCTGAATTCCTGAGAGGAGACGAAATCCAGGTCTCCTACTCCTTGGCTATCTTGCTCCACCCTCACTTAGATTCTTAAATCAATTCTATGAGTTGGACACTTTTAATTCTATCAATTTTTTTAAATTCTTACATCAATTCCATGAGTCAGGCACTGTTATAATCCCCATTTTAATTCTTATATCTTTTAATAAAGGCTCTGTTCCCTGTGCATCATCTCCTCCTGGACTGATACCCCCCTCCCTCCCCAATGCTCCATTCACTGTCCTTGCTTGGGTACAAGCTAAGGTGTTGCTGGTCTGGCCTGTCCTGGGCTCTCCCAGAGACCAAGCTGGAAGGCAGCTGAAGATGGGTAAGTGTGTATTTAAACACTGATGTGACTTTCAGTTACCCAAGGAAATCAGAAGTTCCAGGGAGACCCTTGTTTGATTCCGAATGTTTTCTCTCCTTCATTTCAGCCCAGCATGAAGCCTTTCTCAGGACAAGCTAGGCCAGGAGGCAAAGGGTTTAGAGGAAGCAACATTGGACTTTGAATATGGACACAGGCGATTTGTGGAAATAAACAGTCCCCTTGACAGGTTTCCGGTGGCTAATGAAGAAAACTCAGAATAAAAATGTTTTAGACAAATTGTCTGTAGGGATGGTGGGACTTGCTTTCCATTACCTCCTGTTCTTCCCCCACCTTTCTCCCATCTTGGGCGATGCCCCCCTCATCCACTCACCCCAGTGCTTGAGCCAAATACAAAAGCAAACCTAGGAGTCAGCCCTCACCACCCCTATATCCAAATCCTGTCTGCTCTTCCACCCAAATACGTCCCTAGTCCCTCCACTCTCTCCATCTCTACCTGTGACACCTGAGTCCAGCCACCATGACTTTCAGTAGCCCCTTGCATTGCCCTCCACCATCTATTTCCAACATGGTCGCCGGAATGTTCTGTGTCACTAAAATCGGATCACGTCACTCTCTGTTTTATTGTCTCCCAACCACAAGCACACATATACTCACTAGTGACCTAACTCTGATGAGGCTTCAGGACACAAGGGGCCATCAAAGAGGAGATGAGGTGTGTAGTGGGAGGGGGGAGAGTGAACATTGATATGGCTGCACCCAGGTGGTCTCCAGCCTTCTCTTTCCTCTCCTCACGGGAGATGAGCAGGAGTAGCACTGGGCTCAGGAAATGGGGGCATGAACCCTGCTGCCAAGACCAGCTTCTCATCTAGCTTTATGTCAAGGATGCTCTCAGTTGATCCAGGCGGGCCCAGTCCAGATCTGCAGCTAGAACAAGGACTCAGGAACAGAAATGTGCTTTCTCTTGGGGAGCTCTTGTGCATACAGGGACCCAGGGGACCAAAATGTCTGCAGGCTGGCACAAGATTCAGATTTGTGAATTCCTAGTTCCATCTGCTTTTCCTTGGAGATAAGATGCTAATAATAGATGGTACTCATTATTGTGTCTGTTGTCTATAGCCCCAGCAAAGCACATAATTACTGAGCACTACTGTGTGCCAGGCACATGCTGGGATACAGAAAATGAAGAAGGCACATTGTCTTTGCCCTCAAGACAGTCCAGGAAAGGAGAGAACCAAACAGATAGATAAGTTCATAACACAAGGCACTCCATTGTAAAAATACGTCGTTGTTGCCATGGGAATACATGGGAGGAGAAAGTAACCCAGGATGGATATTCGGGGAACACAGGAGCTGAGTCTTCAAGGGTGGTAAGACTTCAGGAGGAAAAGATAGGACAAGCTCTATAGATATGGGCCATGTATCTTGCTTAAGCTAGCTGGCTGAAAAGCTGCAGCTGCTTGTTCTTACTGCTGTTGGGGATGCTTGAAACAAATCCCTTCTTCACACAGCTTCATAGAATGGGACACATCCTGCATTTAACTCCTCCTGAGTGTGCCCTCACGGAACTCCTGCTCTCCCAGGCACTTCTGACATCCTTTTCTTTGTGACGTAGAAGACTTTTGGAAGGCCAGCAATGTATCACTTGCAACACGCTTTCGAGAGAAAACACAAATACCTCTGGAAAGCAGTGGTTGACCAAATATAAAGAGCTGGCTAGATCAGAAGAAAAGTACGAGAAAATTGTTATAAATGGTTTCTTAGTCTTTAAGCTCTATTTCACCTGGAAATATTATGGCTGGAGTCAAGATTGCAAAATATGCATAGGAAGTCAGCCAGGCCAAGGAACATCCAAAAAGAACAGTCTTTCGAATTTAGAAGGAACTTTTTTTTTCCTGGTAGATTCTGTGATTTTTTGAAGAACATCCAAGAGAGCCAAATGACCAAAATGTGTATGAAATTATAACACTTTGCTTGATATTGGGTGGCACAGACTTAAATCCAGTGACATTTTGAATTAATTTATTTATAGTAATAAAATCACAGAATTAATACAACCATCTCCCCATGCTAACAGAAAGGCACATAATTAAGTAAAAACACATGTAGAATAATGCTAATTCTCAAGGGCTATAACAGTCTTTAGAGAGCATCTTATCTGATGTCTCATAGAAATTAATGTTTAATTTGAGTGTTACTCATTACAGAAGTATTTATGCTAATGTGGTAAATTTGGAAGCTAATACAAATTCACAAATTAGAAAACAGAAATTGTCCTTACGACTACCACCCAGAGAAAACAATGGTTAATATTTTGGAGTTAACTAGGGGCGCCTGGGTGGCTCAGTCGGTTGAGCGTCCGACTCTTGATTTTGGCTCAGGTCATGATCTCAGGATACTGCGATCCAGGCTTGCATCAGGCTCCACACTCAGGGGGAGTCTGCTTGAGGATTTCTCTCCCTCTCCTTGTGTCCCTCCTCCAGGTCATCCTCCCTCTGTCTTAAATAAATAAATAAACCTTTAAAAAATATTTTGGAGCCAACTAAATGTCATTTCTTTTTCTTCCATGCAAAAATATGTTTATAAATTTAGGACTGTACGGTTCATACTATTTTTGAAACCTACTTCTGTACTTTGTATATATTATGAAAATAATACCATGTAATTAACTACTTTACAATGCAAGTTGGGTGGATCCATTCTATTCCATACTATGTGTACAATAGATAATGTAATATCCCTTGCATAGCTTTGATTTTATAGATTTAAGATCGAGGACCAGGGAGAAGCTACGTGCCCAAGTTCACACAGCTGATTCCTATCGGAGCCAGGATGTGCATTCACATCTCAAGCACCAAGTTCAGAGCTTTGGCCATTTGTGGACCTGATGCCAAATTCTTAGTTTAGCTATTAGTTCCCATTTCCCCTTCTGAAACTCACAATAAACCAGCCAGTTTGAATGATGCTTTCTTTTGTTGTCATGCTAATGACTACATTTGCTAAGTGCTGATCTTATGCCATACCTGTGATAACACTTTACATACATGTTCCTCTTTAACTGTCATATCAATGATTAAGACATTATTAGCCCTATTCCAGGAAAGAAGAAATTGAGGCTCAGTTGTCCAACGACTCATTCTAGTTCACCGATCCAGTGAATGGTGTAGCCAGGCTGTCAATCTACATCTCAGTGATAACTTTCTCAGTAGCTACTGTGCCCTCCTATATGCACTTACTTGTAATTGTTTGCCCCTGAGATCCTTGATGATGAAAATAATGTCTTATTCATCTGTGAAGTTGCAGGGCCTAGCAAAGGTGGGACACATGAGTGCCGGGATGGGGAACACTTGGTTTCAGGGTGATGGTGAGCAATAATCATAGAGGTTGTGGAGAGATGACACTTAGCTTGCTGTGATTCAGTGGTGAAGCAATGTGGCAATACTGTACAAAGTGGAAAATACAAATACCTTACAATCCAGCAAGTGTGCTTTTATATATAAGTTCCAGGAGACGTTTTTGATAATGGTCCCTGAGCATTTTTTAAGTAGGGAAAACTGCCAACAGCCTGAATGTCTATTAATAGGTCAAAGGATAAACATATTTTGGTACTTTCATATTATGTAATCAGAACATATTACAGCTGCAGACTGTGAAAGCAGTCTGCAGAATTACATCTGTGGCTATCAACCTCGATGCATCTAAGAAATGCAATACTGCATGATGCCGAAATAATTTTAGAAGTAAATTATAATATAGACATAACTAAATATACGTAAAAAACATGGATGGGAAGGATACACATTAAGTGCATTAGAAGTTGGCTCTTAGGAGAGAGAGAGGAGACTAATGCCGGGGACAAGAGAACTTCAGCTAAATATCTGAGATACTTCATCCTTTTAAAAATGCGGAAGTAGGGACACCTGAGTGGTATAGTCAGTTAATCGTTCGACTCTTATTTTGGCTCAGGTCGTGATTCCAGGGTGGTGAGATCAAGCCCCGCATTAGGCTCCATGCTCAGCAAGGAGTCTGCTTGAGATTCTCTCTCTCCCTCTCCCTCTGCCCCTCCCACTCTTGCTCTCTCTCTCTAAAATAAAGAAATAAATCTTTAAAAAATGCAGAAGTAAATATGACTCATTATTAGCGTTGTTTATTTCCAGGGGTTGGTTCATAGATGTTCATATGATTAGTATCCAGCACACTTTCTGAGGCTTTTTGGACAATCTCTGCCTCATCTTTTTCTCATTCGGTGGGCCTCTTACTGTGGTCTCAGTTAGCCCTGTGCTTCCTAGACCTGAGGCCCGTTGCCTCTGCCACTTCCGGCTCAGATGAAGCTCCATGTTGCAGGTGTGGGGTCTGGCTTCCCCATGGGGCTATGTGAAGGACCACTGGCTGTCACCAGGACATTCATCCAGAGATGGAGCTGTGACTCACAAGAGACAGGAAAGGGATGGAGCCAGCGGAGAAATTCCTCTCCCTTTCTGCATCCTGAGCCTCCTTTCCCCACTTCACTGCCCATCCAGAGACATTTCAACTGAGTGGTTCCTTTCTTTTTTCTTTTCTAAGATTTTGCGGGGCGCCTGGGTGGCTCAGTTGCTTAAGTGACTGCCTTCGGCTCAGGTCATGATCCTGGAGTCCCAGGATCGAGCCCCGCATCGGGCTCCCTGCTCAGCGGGGAACCTGCTTCTCCCTCTGACCCTCCCCCCTCTCGTGTTCTCTCTCTCATTCTCTCTCTCTCTCAAATAAATAAACAAAATCTTTAAAGATTTTATTTATTTGAGAGTGCGAGAGAGCACAAGCGGGGGGAGCGGCAGGCAGAGGGAGAGGGAGAAACAGGCTCCCCGCTGAGCAAGGAGCCCGATGCGGGGCTTGATCCCAGGGACCCTGGGATCATGACCTGAGCCAAAGGCAGACGCTTCACCGACTGAGCCATCCAGGTGCCCCTGAGTGGCTCCTTTCAATCTCTTCACGACCCACATGGCCACAAAATACCATGTCAGCTTGTGTTTGCCTCCTGACCTCTTCCCCTCCCTTTCACTGCCCTGGAGTTGTGCTGGCCTTTCGCCTTGTCTCCGGCTCTGTTGCAAGAAATCTAGGCTGAGACATTATTTTTTGTAATTTCCTGTATTCCACAAATAATCCAGTGCAAGGAGCATAGGTAAGTGTTCAATGCACAGTGACTCCTACTATTAATACCGTCACAGCCAAATTATAATCAGACCCTATGCATCTCAGAGCTGTCAAATTGGAAGGAATCATAAATTGTTAGGTTCGGAGGAAGGAGAATGGAGATACTCTTTAGTTATGACTCAGTCCAAACTTTAAAATTGAAAACAAGGGATTTTTGCCTAGACTTGTAAGCTAGCGAGTGCCTGAGCTGAGGAACAGAAAATATCCAACGGGGGCACCTGGGTGGCTCAGACGGTTAAGCGTCTGCCTTCGGCTCAGGTCATGATCCCAGGGTCCTGGGATCGAGTCCCGCATCGGGCTCCCTGCTCCTTGGGAGCCTGCTTCTCTCTCTCTCTCTCTCTCTCTCTCTCTCTCTATGTCTCTCATGAATAAGTAAATAAAATCTTTAAAAAAAAAATATCCAACGGTCCCCAAATTTTGGTGATGCCATCTCAATCATCTTCCCAAGGGCTCCATTCCCCACTGGGGGTTGAGCACATTTTGAGCATGTGATTGCGGGCACTTACTCTCCACTGTGGTTCAGGTTGTCGTAGCGCAGAAAGAGGCCCGCATAGATGGTCTCGGTCAGCAGGGCGTAGATGGCGATCATAATCAGCAGCACTGCCAGCTTCAAGACAGAGTTCAGGCGGAGGAAAACTGCACAGGTCACCATGGCCAGCACCCCGGTGAAGACGAAGTACTGGAAACAGAGAGGGGGAGGTGGTCAGACTCAACAGGAACACGGGAGGGCCAGTCCCCTCAGCATGGGTGCCAGAGGGTCTCCTGACGCAGATGGTGGCTGAGCACCTCCCTTTGGAGACCTCAGACTTCCCTCAAGTTCAACAGGCCCCCAACAGAACTCATCACTTCCTTACCACCTCCTGAGCCTCTGTTCCCTGGCGTTTGAGGACCATTCACACCAGCCCTAAGCCAGAACCACTGGTCTCTTCTTTGCTGCCTTTCTCTTCCCCACACTCCACAGTCAGGCCACCCTAAGTCTGTAGCCTCCACTTCCTTCAGAGAGTTCACAACCAGGCAGCCCTCCCCTCCCAAGCATTGTCTGTTCTGGTTCCAGAACAGTTTCTGGCAACTCTGTCTGCTTGCAACCCCCAACCCCCACTGAACACACGCTCTCTTTCTCTCTCTAGAATTTCTAAAACACAGACCTCATCATGCCATGCCTCAGCTTGAAGGCCTTTTACGGCTCACCATTCCTTCAAATGGTGTTCTCCTTTCTGAGTGGGAAGTTCACAAGGCCAGCACGGATCAGATTTCCCTTCATTTTCCAAACCCAACATATGCTTCAGCCTCACCATCTACCTGCGTCTCCCATGGCTGTTTCCTGACTCTCCTGGGCCTCTGTGCTCTGCATCCCATGTCCTCTTGCTCAGAGCTCATCCATGTGACTAAGCCTCACTCCTCTGACAAGTGTCCTCTCCTCTGAGAAGCCTTAGTGTGCATTTCCAGGTGTCCTGGAAACTGCCTCGTTCCTCCATAGCACCACCCACACTCAGGATAAGATTCATCTCCTTGTATAAGAAGTAGCTGTTCAAAAGGCCAGTCTGGTGCCACTCAAGCTGGAATCCTGATGTGGCCCCCACAGCTCAGTCTGCCCAGCCAGATTTCAGCCTTCTGTATGATCCTCCCCAGCCTCTTTCCCTTACAGAAGCAACCCACTGTAGCATTCTGAATGTCCGGTTTGGATTCTGACTCTCCAGTGGGAAAAAAGAATAAAAGTTGTGTTATCAAGGCCCACTTGGTTCTTTTGTAATTTTCAAAATAACTGGCCAAGATGGGAATCACAATTCCCACTTTACAGGTGAAGAGACTGAAACTCACAGAGCTTAAGTGAAATGTTCAAATTCTCACAACTGGAAAATGGCACCTAGTTAAATATAGTCCCATGTTTGCACAGTGGATTGGTCCCCTCCCTTGGGAGCAATCTGTCCACATACATGTGACTCCAGTGGACACACTGAGCTTGATAATCCCTAAAATCCACTTCAGCCCTCTTATGCATGGCTCTTTGTAACAACTGGCTGTCTCCTCTCTCCTATTACAGGAAGAGACAGTTTCTGGATGGGCAGAGGAAACCGTAAGATTTCTAGAAATCTCCAAGCGACTATGGAAGACACGTTTATTGAGTTCCTAAGTCAAACCGACTCATTAATGTATACTTTCAACAGTGATATCAACAAATGTGGATAGGACCCTGATGAGACCCCTCTGAGGGCCAGGTCCCGTGCCTTTATCGTGCATGTGGTGGACTTGGGAATGAACAAGGCAGCGTGCCTATCCCTAAAGACCCCTGTGTCTGGGCACCCTTTACTTTTATCTTTTTTTCTTAGTAAATCCAATTACATCCATGTCTCAAATGGATGATGAGCTTTCTTCAACTCTCCTTTAAGATCTTCCCTTGGCAAGATTTTCAGGTAACTCATCTTGATGCCCTGAATCCATCATTTTAACAGATAGAGGAGAGGTGGGTAGACCTGAAGCATCTTGTTTCATTGTTACCTGCATCATAATGAAGGGTTGTGCACGGTTTTGTCAATGCAAATTATGAATCATGTATTAAATCAAAGCTGTCAAAATGATTATGCCTTTAAGAAAAACTTTATGAGGGCACAACAGTTAAGTTTAAGAAGTGTAATAAGGATTTACTGAGTGGCTGTTGCAATCAAGGCATGTTGTTAGGCATTGGGAATTCCAAGGTGAGAGATTGCCTGGACCATATCCTGTGGTCTAAGATGTAAACCTGACGTGGAGAGACCAACACCAATGTGCTGTGGGACGTGCTCTGCCAGCAATGTGATCAAATATGATGGAGCACAGAGGCAGAAGGAACACACGTTTGGAGAAGGATTTACGGGACAGGTGGATTTGAACTGGATCTGAAGAATGGATAGGATTCACATGACAGAAAAGGGAAAAGGGAGAACATTCTAGGAAGATAGAATGACATGAACTCAAAGGTACAAAGGAACAAATCTATGGAATGAATGCCTTGGGTATATCAAAACACCACATAATTAATCATAAAGAGAGCTAGTAACAGTGGCAGGCAGGTAAGTTTCAAATGAGTTGCCCTCCTTCTTTCTCTGCCAAGACATCTGAAGTCATAGTAGTTAAATATAGTCCCATGTTTGCACAATGGATTGGTGGATCTTTCTCTTTTTGTTGCCTCCATCGACTGTGTTAGTGTCCTCTTGGCAGCTCTGTTATCACCCTCCATTCCACTGAAAAGAACCACCTTGCTCACTGCCTTGCACAGTTTAGGAAACTTTCTGCTTTAAAGTTGAACCTTATGGTGATGCTGTAAACCATAGGACATCAAAGATATGAGGACCCTGGGTAAATAGCATCAGGAGTTTTTCCTCTGTCTCTTTTCTGGCTTGAATGAATAGTGGGAGTTAGACCAGGAAATGGAGAGGAACAGGAAGCTACGAAGTATTATGACTTTGTGAAAACCTCTCTTTCAGCTGCATCTGGGCCCATAAATTGCATGTTTCCTACAACTTGGAAGGTTGCTGGGCTCAACACAATGACTAAATTTCTGTCAAACGACCAATAGTCTATGTGTTCTTTTAAGTTAGCCCAGGAACTCAGGTGCTCCATAGCTTCTAGAGTGCCCCCTGAAAGGGTCCTGAACATTAGGGGTTCACAGGTGTGGCAGGGCAGAGACAGGAGGCAAAGCCACGTTGAGAAACTCTTGTATGTACTGCTGAGATGTCTGCACTTTATTCCGCAAGGAGACATGGAAAGGCATTACTACACAGTATTTTTAAAAATGTAGGATGATGCTTATCTTGGCAGTGCTTACTGGTTGATTCAATGCAGTCACTTGCAAGACTATGTCCTTGTCTTGGCTGTACTTCTTTGATGACTGAACTCAAATTTTTGTAAATCATCATCAGAGTCCATTTTTGAAAAATATAAAAACGCAGCCTGTGTTTGATTCTTGAACAGTGATGTCCAGCCAGATCATGCATCTCAGTGACTTTCAGAAACTAAATGTGCTTCCAGAGGACAGCAATTTGAAATTGTGAAACATACATCTAGGAAGTATACGCTTTCAGCTAACAACGATCAGCAGAGAGGAAGATGGTGACACTGTTGGAATTAAGTGTGTGCCCTCCAAGGCCACACCCTAAGCATGGGCAACAAGTGCAGGGTCTTGAAGGATCTGGCTCCCTGAGAACGATGCAATGCAAGGTGGTCACCATCTTGGAAACACTTGGTGAGGCCAGGAGAGCGAGATTATGAGAGGGAAACAGGCTATGAAAATATGGCCTGTTCAAGTTTTTAGTCATACATCGGACACATGATCATGTAGATAATCTCATGTTTGGAGCATAGAACATTGTGCATTTAAAGAATTTGTAATGGCCCTATCTTCCTTAAATTCAGATCTCCACTTGGGCAGGCACTATTTTCCCCTCGTTACCAAAAGCTTCAAGAAAGAGACAAGAAAGAAACTAAAATTTAATGAGTGTTTTATGGATGTCATCTCTTTTTGTCACCCCAACAATCTTATGAGATGGATATTATTAATAATCCCATTATAGTGGTGCCTCAGTCGGTTAAGCAACCGACTCTTGATCTCGACTCAGGTCTTGATCTCAGGGTGGTGAGTTCAAACCCCGTGATGGGCTCCACAAAACAGCAACAAAAAATAATCCCATTATATAGATGAGAAAACTAAGGCTCAGAGAAGTTAAGTGACTTGTCTAAAGCTACAAAGCAAGTAAATGGCAGAAGAGTCCTCCTTCATTCGAGGTCACCACACAGCGTCTGCCTCCCATACCTGTTCTGTTTCCCATGTTCTGTTAATGTCCTTAAAGACTTGAAACCTAAGCTTCAGCAAGGTGGGCTTGTTCGTTTTTGGATCATCCTGTGCCTTTATGGCTTTTGGGCTCTTTGTGGGGAAAGGCAATTCCAAAAACTGATTTATCACTTGGGAAAAAACACATCAATCTTCTTTATATATTTAGCCATAACATCTGATCGGCTCTGTGCAGAAACAAAATGGGCTCATGTAACAGCCCTCTGTTCAACTAGAAAAAGTTCTGAAATTACTGCAAAGCCATTTGACACTCCTTTGTTTGAATATTTTGGTGGGCCTGCCACTGCGGGAACGTGGGAAAACCTAATTTTATCCTGAATAGCAGCAGCTGGGGATTTCTGACCACCCTGAATAAAGTTTCCTCCAAGACACTCGGGGTTTGGACTCCCACCTGAGGAGTTAACCAGAGAGATGAAAGCACCAGTTTTTATCGTCACTTTTGGAATTTAAAAAAAATCTGCCTATTTGCTTGATCATGGATTCTCTTTTCTTTTCATTGTTTCTCTTCCTCTTTCTGCCTCCTTTTTGATTTTTCTCCCTCTTGTCTTCCTCTTTCAATCCCCCCCCCTTCTTCTCTCATCTTCATCAAGACAGCAAGTATTTAATGAGCAAAGACACAGATAATGACACCCCTGTGGGAGATTGGCTCTCAGGGACACTTCAAAACGTTAGCAAGCTCTAACTGTTCCTGCAAATACAGTTGACTATTTATTCAAATGTGCCAGCGCATATAATAAAGGGGCTTGACTCTAAAATGAAGGTCTTCCTATCAAGCCTGCTGAGAACCCCGTGCAGGTGTTGAGATAACCACACTCTGGGTTTGTGCGTGTGATCAGCATTTGTTTTGCAAACCCGTGTCTCTTCCCTCCCCCAGATGATTTCTCACATCATAGTTGGAATGCAGCTTTCTTCACTGTCATTTACTGTATCTTCATCCATTTTGAGTAATTGGCAAGCTCCAGTTCAAGACTAAATTATACTTGATACCATATATTAGAACAGCCTCTTATGCTTACACCACATCATCCATGTTTATATGATATGTTTATATCACATGCTTTCAGGCTGAGTCCTGTTTCTCATGGGGTGAGGTAGAGAGGTTAGGTACACAGATGAGGAAGCCAAAGCTCAAAGAGATCAAGGGATTTGGGGACACACGAGTGTGAGTGCTGGGAGGCATTGTGTGTGAATAAGTCTTTTACAAGGTCTGAAGGTCTAATTCCTTCTTGTTTGGTGGACAAATCCCTAGGTAGGGAGGCACAACCACGTATATCAAGATGGCAACTGGTCAGTCAGATCAGGCCGTTGGTGGTAGATGGTGATGGAAAGAGTCCAGATCCCCACCTTTTAGGCCAGTGGGATGCCTGCATCTGGGGGGATGCCAGGAGTTGGCAAACTCTGTAAAGGGTCAGATAGTAAATATTTTGGCTCACCGGGCCCCACACCATCTCTTGCAGCTACTCAACTCTGCCAACTGTACTATCAAAGTAGCCACAGACAGGGCACCTGGGGGGTTCAGTTGGTTGAGCGCCGACTCTTGATTTTGCTCAGGTCATGATCTTGGGGTCCTGGGATTGAGTCCCCATCATGCTCCACACTCAGCATGGAGTCTACTTGAGGACTCTCTCTCCCCCTCTCTCTGCCTTGCCCCCCCTCCCACTCATGCGTGCTCTCTCCCTCTCTCTCTAATTAAGTAAATAAATCTTTACCCCAAAAAACTAGCCATAGACAATTGGTACTAAATGGGTGTGGCTAGGCCCCAATAAAACTTTACTTACAAAACAGGTGGCAGGTAGGATTTGGCTAGAGGCCACAGTTTGCTCACCCCTGAGCAAGATGATCCTTTGTTTGTGGGAGGAAAGTATTGAAACTCTTATTTATCTCATTTTTAACATTTCTACATTTTGAATATGTTCCATAATGTACATGATACAGTAGCACAGTGATACAGGAATGTAACTTAGAGATAAACGTGTCTCAGTGGTGCAGGCTCAAAACCTTCTTACAGGAAATCAGAAATACATCATGGCTGATGTTTAATGAGCAGACACTTTGTGCTAGATGCTACTCGGGACAGTTTACATGGATTAATGCCCTTAATCCTCACAACTGCCCTTGAGGAAGGTACTAGTTTCCTCCTCGTTTTATAGATAAGGAAACCAAAGCACAGAGATGATATGTAATCCAAAAGCCACTTTCTTAGGACTGGCAAACCCATGAGTGCTGTGGTCCTGAGTTTGGGAGTTTAGGTCTGGGGTCAAGGGTATGCACCGTTTTAGGGCGATGTGGAAGCCCAGATGAATAGCTCACGAACACCAACTTCATGTCAGATGACACACTGGAGCTCCACATCCGCTAATTCATCTAGGTAGGCACCATGACAACATGATATTCCCTAACTCCACAAGAGCCGTGTGAAGAAGATATTTTTTTTCCCACTTTCCAGACAAGGAAGCTCAGGTTCAGAGAGAAGAAGAGCTGACTCATGATTCCACTGCTAGCAGGTGAAGGGGCTCAGCCGGGAGTGAAATCCAGCTTTGCCTAACTCTCCACAGCTGATGGGTGGCCAACTCACTGCCTCTTGGAACACTGCTCATGCCCCCCAAACTGAGACGTTCTCAGGGAGCTGGTGGCCCACAGAGTCCATGAAGTCTCTGCTCTCTTGGTACTTGGTGGGAGGAGGTCCCTCAACAAGAGCTAGTCCCATCCTGCCCTGGACTTCCTTAAGAAAAGCCTATTTCCCCCCTAGGGATGGAGGACTGAGGCTAGATGCAGAAGCACAAAGTCAAGAACAATCCAGACAGGGTTTGAACTGCAGTTCCAAGTCTCGAGAACTGAATTAAGAAGAGAAGGACAGAAAGAAAGAAGGAAGGAAAGACGTGAGGGAGGATGGAAGGCAGGCAGGAGTGGTGCTGGGTGGGCACTGAACAAGTTACTCTCTGGGCCTCTGTTACATTATCTAGAAAATGGAGATAACAACCACCTGTGCCCCCTACAGCTGGAGGATTGAATGATGCCATGCTCATCAAATAGATGCTCTGTACTTGTACAAGGCAGGAAGCTTTCTCTCCTTTTCAGAACATTTCGCACAACGATTCTGGGGCCTCAGTGAGACAACACAGAGCTTTTCCCCACCCAGATGATGGAGAGGTCTTAGAGAACAAGGGTCTACCTGGGTCCTTGGGGTGTGAGGTTGGCTGGGGTCTGCTGGGACATCCCAGCTGTCCTCTCTCCTGACCCAGAACTTCTGCCCCTGAATGTAAAGTTCTGGGCTATGGCTAACACAGCCTAAGACTGTCCTTTGTCCAGTGCCATAGGCTGACCCCAAGGCCCAGGGCCAGACCTCTGGCTCTGTGGCCAAGGGAGGGTGAGACTTACATAATGATGATGGGTATCTGCTGGGACACCTCCTGACCCTGTGGTGTTGCTCTTTGCTTTAAGTTTAGTTGTGGTTTTCTGTGTTTGTGACTCATTAGCTTTCTTCCTTCTATTTCTCCCTCCCCCTTCCTCCTTCCTCCCTTCTCTCCTTCCTTCCCTCTCTTCCTCCCTCCCTCCCCTCTTTATCCTTCCTTCCTTCCTTCCTTCCTTTCCTTCCCTTCTTCCCTTTCCTTCTTTCTCTCCTCCCTTCCTTCCTTCCTTCCTTCCTTCCTCCCTCCCTCCCTCTCTTCCCTCCCTTCTCTTCTTCCCTCTTTCTTTCTCTCCTCCCTTCCTTCCTTCCTTCCTCTCTCTCTTCCCTCCCTTCTCTTCTTCCCTCTTTCTTTCTCTCCTCCCTTTCTTCCCTCCCTTCCTTCCTTGTTCCTTCCTTCCTTCCTTTTTTCTCTCCTCCCTTTCCCCTTCCTTCCTTCCTCTCTCCCTCCCTTCCCCCTACCTCTCTTCCTTCCATCCCTTCTTCTTGAAGGCAGCAAATACCATTTGAGCCATAACTCTGCCCTACATTGGGAACAACAGCACATTCTGCTCTAGGATTTTGAGATGAGAAGGGGAAATGAGTAGGGGAGGGGGGGAAGGGGAAGAGGAAAATGGATAGAGGTACAGGTGAAGAAGGAAGAAAGGAGGAGGAAGAAGAAGGGAGAATCAGGAAAGGCTAGAAGTAGGGTGGGAAAGAGGCAGGGGAGAGAAGGAGAGGCAGAGAAGGGGGAGGAGGAAGAGGAGAGCAGGAGGAGGAGGGGCAGAAGAAGGAAGCAGGCCTTGTGTGGAGCTGGTGGAGGTACCTAGGCCCAAGTCTTGCCCAGGGGAGCTTGAGAATAAATACCTCTGGGTAGGAGCAGATATCTGTAAACACAGCTGAGGAATTGAAAGTCAGGTTCTTCAAGGGTATTGACTTGTCAAAATCACACCACAGCTGCGGATTAAAAAAAAAGAACAACAACAACAACGACAAAAAACAAAACAAAACAAAACAAAACAACACAGGAACAACAAAGTCAGTGTGAGTGCTGGGAACAAAGCAGTGTGCCGAGCTTCGAGCTTCGACAGGAGCCTGGGCACACCAGGCCCTATAGGGGGCTTCATTCCAGAATGGAGGTGCCAGCTGGGATCTCCTCCTTCATTTTAAAGAAGGTACTGGCTCAGAAAAAGCATTTGCAAGCCAGCCCCAAAGCCAGGTTAAGACAGCTCTGCTGGCCCCTTCATGTAGGGTCGGTGGAGAGTGCCTGTGGGGCTCTGAAGAGAGCCAGATGGCAGGAGAAAAGGTCTGGGGGATGCTCGCAGCCTGTCTCCTCATCAACAGCTAGGAGGATTCTAGGGATCTGAGGGGGGCACGTTTTCCAGAAAGACTCTTAGCATGAGGCGGGGCCGGTAAGGGGGGTGGTGGGCATTCCCTAGGCCAGAAACTGCGGCAGATTTTTGCGGTGCTCGGGAAAGAGTAGCTGCCATTGGCTGAACGCCTCCTCTGTGCCAGACACTTTGGACAAAAAAGCCTCACAACCACCTTGTGATGTAGCTACTGTTTTTATCCCCATTTTACAATAGAAAAATATGAAACTCCGAGAAGTAAAGTAACTTGTCTGGGATCATCGAGCTGGTAAGCGGTAGAGCTGAGATTTGATGGCAGGTCTATCTGACTCCAAAGCCTCTGAACTTCCTGCTGCACCACTCTGGCCTGGGTGGTCCAGAGGTAACACTGACCTGAATCACTGAATTTATTTCCAGATCCTGCACCCCAGAAATACCTGATTCCTCAAGCCTTGAGATCCTGGCTACGCCTCCGCAGACCATGATCAATGCTCCTAAGCACTTCCACTTTCAATTGCAATAATCTATAAAATATTCATTAGATGATGACTTTAATTAGATTAGGATTTTCCTTTTTCTTTATCCCATAGAATCCTTTCCTACAAGGCCAACCACGGAGCTTGGGCAACATAGACTGTAAGTAATTACTGGGCCATTCTGGACAATGAATTTCAGGCAGTATAAGCCTCCAACTCATAGCTGACAACTGTGTGAGTCCCCAGTTTGGGTCCCTGAACACGTAGAGACCCTCCCTCAGGCCCAAAGGGCACAATGATGGGCTCAGCCACAAGATGGATGCCTCCACTGGCCTCTCTCAATGTGCCAAGTTCAAAACCTGGAATCAGACAGATCACTCCTAAAATCTAGACTAACTAAGCCTTGGACAACACAGACTGTTTGTATATACACAAAAAATGCTGTCGCTATCATGTTACCATTCTAGAGAGAAAATGAAATCATTAAAACATGGATCACCAAATTAAAAACAGTGATAAATATGGCAGCTAGAGAATCATCCAAGTTCCATGTGTCACATCCAATATGAACCCTTAGAAAGTCATAGGCAAGATCTCAAGCTTCCTGAAGTGCAGTTTCCTTACCCATTGCATGGGAACGTTAATACCTACCTGTAGCACATAGTAGGTGCTCAAGAAATGACAGCTCTTTTATTTCCACTCCCCACCCCACCCCCACTCCCAGAGATACAATTTAGCATTTGAGAATGAGCATGAGTCATGGAGTCAGACAGACCTTATTAGCAAGTTATTTCATGTCTCTGAGCCTCAGTTTCCTTAGCCATAAAGTGGGGATAAGGAGACTTACCTCACGGGGTTTATGTGAGGATTTATTAAGAAAAACACGTGCAGCTCCTCCTTCAGTGCATGGCACATAGCAGGTAGGTACTTAATTAAAGGGAACTTTGATTCACGATTATAATTGGTTGGGCACTGACAATATAGAAACTTTAGGGCGTTTACGCTCCTTTGGAGCAGATAACCACCCCCCCCCTAGGAAAAAGACAATTTGCCACCAGTAAGATGCACAGCTCTGATAGTAGCCGCATCTCTGTTCTCTATCCCTAAGGTTGGGGCTGCACCAGGCACTTGAAGGTAAGTGGTACCAAGGCAATCAAAGAAGCTGCAGGCTCCATAAATCCTACATTCCTGCCTGCACGCGAGAAGCCAGAGGGTTGGTGGGTTTGGAATGCTTACGATATTCAAGATGGCGCCCAGGAAGTTAATCAAGATGGATGCAAAGATGATGACGTTCCGGGCCAAATAGGTCTCGTTAATCCAACAGCAAGTTTTCCGGAGGACGAGGGGCAAACACTTATAATCCTCTGCTGTGGTGATGAGGACCAGAGCCGAGTGCAGCATAATCAGGATGGAAAACTGGATGGCCATTGGCATCACCCTGCAGGGAAACCCAGAACGTTGGGTCACATGGCATCAATTGTCTGATCTTCACTCACTGGGCAACACTGGTAATCACATTCGTAACTACCCTTCCCCACCCCTGGCACCCAATAATTCTCCAAAGTTCTGTTTGTTGAAGAAAAATTAGCAGGAGACATTTTTATTACATCCATCCCTAGAATATTCTATCGAGAAACTTTGAAACGACCATGAAATATTTGGCATGATTTGTTGTTCCTGCCTTTTTTTTTTTTTTTTTGCTTCTTCTATCATCATCTTTCTCACTAGGCAACTGTTGCCAAAGCAACATACCACTGGAATTTTATCTCAGTACCCAGGCTGTGGGAGGGACCCACATGCCCTTTCCCTTTGAGGTGTGTTTTATGAAACACTTTCCCTCTTGGTCTACTCTGGTGCCAAGAACTGAACTTGGCACCTGTTCCAAGTTGCTCAGTTTGGTTAGTGATTATCAAGGTTTGCAGGGAATATACTATGTGCCACTTGAGACATGGGTAAGGGTACAATTTGAGTTGTAGGTAGGAGAACTCATCCTTGCCCAAGGCTTCAACATCACTCCCAAGTATACATCTTGAGCTTCAAGGTCTCACCAAAGCTCTGTCCCATGGTAGCCCTGTCCGTTGGACACCTCTGCTGGGTGTCAGGCTGTTTCCAGCAACTTGGTGATCTCAAACTCCATCTCTGGAGGCATTTTTGACTGCTTCCTCTCCTTACCAACCAAACTCTCAGCAGGCATATTGCTTCTCCTTGGGAATTCATCCCTCGTTCTCTATTCTCTGTCCAGCCATTCGTGTCTCATTTCTCTACTTCTCTTTCAACCAGCCAACTGTTGCACATTGAAGGGTACCTTCATGGAAGTGGCCCTTCCCTCTCTACAGTGAAGTCCATCCATTTGGCTTTAGCATCTTCCACTGGTTGGTGCTCAATCAACATGCATTTAGTGAACAATGCCTTACTCTCATTCTGCTTGGATTATCATATATTTATTATTAATAACACTAGTGTCAGTAATGCACGGAGCTCTGACTGTGTGCTAGACAAAATGCTAAGCTCTTTACATAATAGCTGATTTCCATTCCCTGGTACAGACTTATGAAGTCTCTTGATCTCTCTTTTTTCAGGTGAAATTTAAGGCTAAGAGAAAAGCAATTTCCCAGAGGTCGCTGAGTTGGTTAGTGTTAGAGCTAAGATTTAAAGTCCACTGTGCCATTCTAATCATTTTGGTGAGTGACAGACCTCCCACGTGTGCTGTCATCTTTGTTTTGGATTCTGTGGTGTCATTTACTTATTCATTCAACAATCTTCTTCCCAGATACAGCGGTAGGCACTAGGACAGATCTTCCCCATCCTCTAGGAGATCATAATCTAGAGGAGAATATGGACATATACACGATGAACTATTGGATAATATGCTATGATCTATAAAGGGGTTTGAGCAACCAGCATTTAGAAAACAGGAAAAGGAACCAAGGGAGGCTTCACAAAAGAAGTGACATTTGGGTCAGGCCTTGGAAGTTGAAGAGAGGGTTTTAGGGAGGGAAAAGTAAGGAGCAGGAGAGTAAGAGTGACCAGTGTTTAGAAGTTCCACTAATCCAGGTGGTGAGGTTGTGGGGCTGGAGAGTGAGAGGGTCTCATACATGCTGTGTAGAAAGTTCTGCATGGAGGCGATGCTCAGATATTCCAGATGTTTAATCAGGAAGGACCGGGTCGGATCTGTGTATCGGAAGGGCAACCATGGTGGGAGATGAAGGATGGAGTGAAGAGAAGAGAAAGGGTTTAGAAGAGGTTTCGATAGTTGGCGCCTGAGTTACCAAGGGAGGGACATAAGCTAGCAGCACGGATAACTGGGAGGTTCGGGTAAAGACATGTCAATAATCCTAGTAAGTGTTTTTTGTATGTGTGTGGAGGTGTGTAGCAGAGTGGCGTCATTAAGGATCATACTCATGCTTTTACCATCTAAACTGGTAAATTCAGGAAGAGAAGCTGATCCATAGAGGATAAGGATGATGAATTTGATGTGGGGCCAGTTGAATTTCTGATGCTTGTGGGTCATCCAGCTAGAGACATGCAGATGGCTAGACAGTTGGAGGGACAGTTGTGGAATTCTGGGTCTGGAGTGAACAGGTGGCGGTTGAAGATCTGAGAAGGGAGGAGTTTGCCCAAGGAGGGTAAGGGGTAAGAGCACTACAGATGAAGCTACAGAAGAAGCTGATGGGCTGGAAGGAGAGAAGGCAGCAAAAGGAATTTAGGAAATGTAGTCAAATGAGCAGGAGAGAAAGAGTGCATGGCATCAGGACAGCCAGGAGGAAGACATTTGCAAGGGGGGTGGGTGGGTAACCAAGAGTGGCAAATCCCTCTGCATGCTCAAGCATCACAAAGGCTGACAAGTCGCTCTCCCCACAGCCCCAGCTTTTATTGTTGAAGGTTTTATATTTTCCTTTTAAAAAAAAATACTTGCACAGTTTTGGTTTTATAGATCACCTTGACAGGAAGTCTCTGCAGGAGTTCTAGATAAGAACAGAAGGTCTGTGTAGCAGTGGGTTCCCAGAGGGCTCTGGGCAGATGGGAAACTTCCCCCCAAACAGGCTGGAAACACACTCCTGAACAGCACACCATTATTCTGGGGCACCCAGGGGAGGCAAATGGAGGAGGATGGCTTTTGTCAGACAGTCCCCAGAGAAAAGGGGCCAATTTCGAGGCTGATGCATCTCGACACCGCGAGGCAGCCACCAAGAATATGAATGCCTTGTTTCAAAGTGTGAGGCAGAAGCAAAGCCGGCAAAGACGACGTTGAGAGTCGCTCAGCAGGAGCCTCAGACTCTTCTGCGGCCCCTGCTGCCATTCGGATAGTCTTCGGACCTCCATGGCAATGTGCAGGGCTGTGGGGGCTGCTCTGGGCTCCCACTCTAGCCTCTCCGCCCTCCATGGGCAACACTCAGGCATGTGACCTAAGGACTATGCTTCTTCTCCTGTGCTCTCTCCTGGGGAATGTCTCATTTATCCTTCAAGGCTCAGTTTTTCTCTGGATTCTTCCATGACACCTGCTATAGAGCTGAGCACACAGACAACACTCAATAAACACTCACTGACGTACACTTTTTTGGGGAAAGAAGATGCTGTTCCTCCCCTCACCAGCCTTCATAGGGAAAGGGATTCCCAGCCACCCTCCTGCCCCTCTACCTGCCCCCAACCTCTGGAAGGAGTCTGCCATTGGCCTGATCAGAGCCTATCCCGGATGTTCAGGGGACCTGGCTCTTCTTGGAAGGCAGGGCCAGTGTTAAAGTTCAAGGTTTATCTGAAGTTCTGCTGCTGGCCCTCCCCTCCTTGTAGATCCACTAAGATGGTTGGGAAGCCAGAACCAGGACCTTCTCTGTAAGAAGAAGACTAGCCATCTCCTCCTGAGCAACGAGGCTCAGGTGTCCCCAGGAAGTACCAATAGGCAACTGCCCAGATCTTCTCTGTTCCTTTGGCGATGGGAGGGTGCTCCTCACATTGGTCTTCTTCGGCATCACAGCAGTGAGATCCCACACTGGCATGGGAAGGTGGAGCAGGGGACACAAGGAGAGAGCCAGGAGATTCAGAATGGACACCATGTGGTCTCTTGACTTCAACCACATTCTGTATTCCAGCCTTTACCATAAGTTTTGCACAGGCAAAGCAAGCATTTGCTTGGCAATTTACAAAACTGACACTTTGTTGCCCATTTAGCTATTGTGCTTCTGGGTTGACTTTTGGTGGGGTGTTTTGGTATGCTGGTGGGCTGTGTGTGGGATTGGCCCACAGAACCCACCTCTGCCCCAACACCATTTTAAGTGATCAGCACTTCCTTCTGGGTTCACTGAAACAAAGGAAAGGGAGGAGCTGTGGACTGAGGGCTTGTGTTTCCCCAAATGTGGATCTTGAATCGTAATGCCCAATGTGATGGTATTTGGAGGTGGGGCACTGGAGGTGATGAGGTCACGAGGGTGGAGCCCTCATGAATGGGGCCAATGCCCTCATAAAAGAGGCCCCCCGAGAGCTCCTTGGCCCCGTCCTCAACGTGAGGACACACGTACAAACTAGGCAGAGAGGGCTCTCACCAGACACAGATTGTGCCAGTGTCTTGATCTTGGACTTCCAGCCTCCAGAACTGTGAGAACTGTGTGAGCTGTTTATAAGCCCGCAGTCCGTAGTATTTTGTGACAGCTCCTAAAGGAGCTAAGACAGGAGGTAAAAGTCGGGCATGTGGGTTAGTGAGTGGCAAGAGCGAACAAAACCCTGGGTGTCTGAACCCATAGCTCCAAAACCTAACCAGTGGCACAGCCTTGGGCAAGGTAACTAACTCTTCTGAGTATCATATTTTTAGTCTGCAAAACCAGAATTATTAAGCCCACTTTTTAAGGAGGCTCTGAGGTTAAAGTAATAAAGCAGTATGCTTAGCACATAAGACGAACTCAAAGAAACATTAGTTCTCCTCTCTTCACAGTGAAATCCAGAAAACCAATGGGAAGGGTATTAATTATAAGATGTGAGATGCGGGCGCTGCCTATAAAATTCCTCTAAGAATCTCTGCAGCAGCTCTTCAGCTATCATCTCCTGCACACATCAACATTGTAGCAACCAGTTGTCGTTTTTTAATCTAACTATAAAACTACTTAGGCGTCCAGGGGTTCTGAATTGGCTTTGCATTGTTGGTGTCCATAGAGGAAAGGAAACCTCTCATTTCTATCAATCTGAAAGAAATGATAAGGGATTTGCAAACAGCTCTCTCCAAATCATTTCTAGACATTAAGTTCTAATTGCTCCCCATAGTCTGTCTTTAAAACAGAGTGTGGGTTGGTATCACAACTGGGTGTTTGCTGGGGAGGTGGGGATCAATGGGGATGAGTGAACAGCCTCTACCAGCTTGGGGTGCAGTAGGAAACAGAAAGTCGGATCATACCCAAAGATGATATTTATACCACCTTTCAGAATCTGCAAAGAGCCTATGAGTACAATAGT